TTTCGTTTATTCAGCAGTGTGGCTGATTAAACAGAAAGTGGAGAGGTTTTAGAATTCGATAAAACTTCGTGGTTAGCAATGACGGACATTTTCTGCTACTGTTGTGAAAGATAAGTGTGTCTTTCCTTGCTCACGTGAGTGCGCCGAAAGTGTGGGCGTGGAAACCTACGTCATCTCCGGTTACTCTGGCGTAGCCATGCTGCACTGCGACGATAGGTTCCCGCTGCTCAATAATGCGAACTGCGATAGCGCTGTTAATGGGACCAAGGGGTATGTATAGAGAATCTGAATGTTCTGCAACTGGATTTTGGTACCAGGATGGAAAGGTGGGCTATTTGGTAATTCATGATGGTTCATGTTGGCATTACAGAGAAAAAGATCAGAAAACGTGCAATGACACAAACACATGCCAAATACTGAAAGCTCATGTTGTGTGCCTCTTTTTTTGCTTTGTGTCTGTGTTTACCCCCGCGCTCCCAGTTCGCTGAACCATCATGGATTATGGTATCTGTAATAACTACAAACAGCCGAGTGCTACGTAGACAAGCGTCTCACAAATCTTCAACTGTGACCTCCCTGACTAACTCGTCACGTGCTGCTGCCGGAGCTAATCGAATAACATCTGGGGTTTAACGTCCGAAAACGACCATATGACTATGAGAGATGCCGTACACTCTTAGTCAAATCTTGGCTAGACTACACGCCTGCAGGTCGGAAATCAAGTAAAATTATAGCCGCTTCTACGCGGCTCCGTAGCCGTGTCCCAGAGAAACCGGCCCGATTCGAAGTGACCTTCAGAATGGCCGGGATTTTAGGTCAATGTTTTTCCTGGCAAGATAGAGCCTGCGGTTAGGCGTGACATTTCCGTAGGCGGCCCGGCCCGGATGTGGTGGCGGAAAAAAAAAAAAACATCTATTTTTGCTTTTGAGGGCGGTTTCTCGCCGATTACGCGGCGGATATTATGACTACAGGTAATTAGAAAACCATTAGTATCACAAGAATCTACATTTGCGAGATTAGCATACAAAGCACATACAGCCCTGGAATTGAACTCGGGACTTCATGCCCGTGAAGCAGATGTCTCACCCATTGCACCACAACGCCACCGCATGAAAGCGAGTCTTTTTGCGGAGGTATATATCTACCAAGTGGCTTTTTGCAAACCATCGGTGGAACCTTTAACTGTTTTTGTGTCATGTGCATGCATTTCATCAGCGAATAGTTTGTAGGGCTCCATGAACTCGAGACAACCATGTTGAGGGCTTTCGGCTTCGGTTCGTGGTGCGCCGTTCCGCAAGAACAATTAACGTGTGTTTGTGCGTCGTTTTACCCGCTTGCTGGATTCCATGCCAACCGGTTGTGCCCTCGCGATCTCCAACGTCTGCGTAGCTCTGACCGACTGGACTTGCTCTACGTACGCCATCTACTGACGCCGACAAGAGCTCTCGCAAGTGGTGCCCCATCCTCGGACTCCTGTGACCGTGTTTCCATCTTTCCTATCTGTTCCCTCCATTTTTCGTCGCGGTCTCTGGCTTACCACCTTACGCCTCTTTCTCTTTTCTACACCTTTATTCCTACCCTTTTAATCCCTCCTCACCCCCATCCCTCGTGAGGTATACTGTTGAGGTGTCGCTCACTGAAGCAGACAGTTATGGGGCTCACTTTTCTCTTCCTTTCTCTCTTAGAACCACGTAGTACTTCCCTGTGAACCACAGGTGTTAAGCTAACCAAAATTTGCGAACGAGGCTGTGTTCGGCTGTCGAAACCTACGTATATTTCTCGCACGTGCGTGTGCTATGAGCAAGTTTGCTTATTTGTGTCGGGAGGTACACGCGTGTCAGTGACAGCAGCCCATTCTCAGCTGTTTGAACACAATGTATTTTCGACGTAAACGTTGCATGGGTATTGTGCCTACTCCAACCTTTGCATTTCGTACGCGTGAACTGCCGCAAGCTACACGCTGGGGCAGCAGCACCTTTTTAGCATTACGATGATTACTTATTTCTGCAATTAATATTCATGCGCATTATTTCGCGATATAGAGTGGTTTTTACTCATTTTCAGTCTTCAAGTGATCTTATTTATGGGGAGTGGCTACTCCTACCTTTATTCAGCATCACACCGCTATTCAAGTGAATGCCGAAACGCTCGCCACGGTCAAGTATGACGTACACAAATTAGCGACGGACAGGTCGGTCTCCCTTCAAATAAATAATGCTTCTGCACATCCCTTTCGCGACCGTCCGCGTGCAGTTGGGGTCAAAAAAATTCGGCAGATCCCACGTACCTAGGAATCGACGTCATGCGAAGCATGTGGAGGGAAGGTGGCCGTGTTGCACTTTTTTTTATTGAGCGACGTGTCATGAAAGGACGCTAAAAATATCTACAAAATTTGCATGCACATACATATGTTGAAGAGTAGCAGATGTTTATATGACCAGTTGTTTGCACTTGCGCAACGATGCCAACTGGAACATGCGTATTAGCAACACTAGAAGCCGATATGAAGCCCCGATGCTCGTGAGGATACTGGCCCTGGACACTGCTACATAAATCAACTTCAGCGCATGGCCACTAACCACAATTGACGTTAACCAGATGTGACGGCTGTATCAAAGGAGTACATATGCATGTTTACAAAATTGTGTAGGCAGCACTGCAACCACTATCGACGATTCACGAAGATTAGGCGCCTATTTGAAAAATAGTTCCGAGACCTGGCGTTCCGAGACTCTGTGGTAGAATCCTTCATCGCCACGCCGAATGCTTGGGTTCGATTACAGCTGGGACCATGACATTTATTCTTTCTATTAGCCTGGTCGACGCTGCCTGTGTCGGGTATTTGTTAACGCTTGGGCGTTAAAGTTGCCCATGTGTGTTCTCGTCGTTCCTGAGTAGATACTAAGTGTCAATCACCTGTGGCACATACCCGCATACCACCCGTGGGTATGATGATATGTGGAGTTTAACGTCCCAAAACCACCATATGATTATGAGAGACGCCGTAGTGGAGGGCTCCGCAAATTTAGACCACCTGGGGTTCTTTAACGTGCACCCAATTCTGAGCACATGGGCCTACAACATTTCCGCCTCCATCGGAAATGCAGCCACCGCAGCCAGGATTCGATCCCGCAACCTGCGGGTCAGCAGCCGAGTACCTTAGCCACTAGACCACCGCGGCGGTGGCCACGGTAGTGGAGGGCTGCGTAAATTTCGACCGCCTGGTGTTCTTAACGTGCGCCGACATCACATGGGACACTGGCATTTCGCCTCCATCAATATAGAACCACCGCGGCCGGGATTTCATCCAGGACGTCCGGGTCAGCAACTGAGCACCTTAACGGCTACACAACCGTGGTGGACATGGCTAATCGAGAAGGCCAGCAGCATTGCTGTTGCAGATAACACGGGATACCAAAAAGGACATCACCACGTTCGTTCGCGAAACCCTCCGGCCATAGTCTGTTTTTTTTTTTAATTTACGAAAAGTCGTATGTTCATTCATCTTTAGGACTCTCGCATCGCTTTTCAAATTCAGCAGGAATCAAATTGCCTTTACATGCTCCAAAGTATTTTTTTATATTTTTGCAAGTGCCTGAGCTTCCCTTTAAGTCGCTTGAACTGCCTGCTTAACGCTGTCGGCAACTTTTTTTAATGTAGGAACGCGGAAACCTGGGAGTTAAATCGCGACCGGCGCACGGTGGACCACTTGCACCAAGCAGCGCTGACTGAAGACCTGCACAAGATTCTGGTCACGCGGGCCGACGGGCGCTGGTTGCCGGTGGCATTGCACCGTCTCTACAGTAGGTGCCTCAAGCCGGGACTCAAGGACGCTGCCGAGCTTCGTTCTAAGTTGCTCGACAGTGCTGGTCTCTTGTCTTGGCCATACAATGCAGGGGACAAGGCTCACGCAAAGGATATTTCCAAGGTACATATAGCTTGTTATAAACACCATATATAAAATATAACGGCTTTTCATGGACCTGCCTATTAAGTTAAATTGACGAGCGCAATAGAGTGGTTAATGTGGTAGGTACAGTGCGACAATGAAGGAAAGTGGATGGTTGAGGGGATCAAATGCGGGGATAACCGCATTGTTTCCTCATCATGTATTGTGGCGTTGTTCCAAGTTAAGGTGCTGTTCTGGAAATGACGTAGGATTCCGTTCTTCAGAATAATGGTTTCGCAAAGACTCTTGACGTTTTGTATTAGAGTACGTCACAAGCAACGTACAGTGCGAGTCAAGTTTCTCTGACTCTTTTTTTTTTTTGCGGAAGTACTCGACGTCATGATATGCGATCTTTGAAATGAGGTGGCAGGGCCTCTTTCTATTAAATGCGCAGCTATAACTCTGATATAAGAAAAAGGGGTAGGTATCGTAACTTCGGTTTCTCTTGAGTGGTGCGCTTCTTACGGTACAGTCAACTTTGCAGACAAGGTTTACGGCGTTTACGCAGCTTTCGTTAAACAAATGTTGGCACTTTACGAATAGAGGAAATAAGAGCTCGCCTGCGAACCCGAAATTCGCCAGTTCATTCCGGCCCGCAGTGGTCGCATGCTAGAGGCATGCGTACTGTGCGATACCAGATGGTCGAAATTTCAGGAGCCATGCGGCATGCCTCATCATATCGTATCTGCAGCACTCAGAAACCCAGATATTATTAACAGAGGGAACAGCAGTGCTCGTCACAGGCAACAATCAGCGCGAGTAAACTTTCTCTGACGCGTGGGATCATGTCGACTCCTGATATCAACCTATTCGTCTGTCACGCTTCAGCACTAAGCCCACAGACGCATAGCACCACACGCGCACTTCGGACTAATTGATAACTGATTGATACCGGGTAACCGAACGATCCCGAAGTATCACATTCTGAAACACTCCAAGATAAGCGAGAGGGGCAAGCGTTGCTTGCAAATAAACAGCCTTTGGCTTCGTGCTCAACGTGTAGTATCACAGCTGATTGCTTCACCTGGGGTTAACAATTTCGCAGGCGGTGGGCAACGCATACTACTTCACGAATGAGCCGGCGATTCTGCGCATGGGCGTGGGCGCCGACGGTCGCGCATTTGTGGCCGAGCCTCGGCTGCTCCTGGATGCCTTGACAGTGGGTCCCCGGGAAGTTACGCAGGCTGCCGCCGCGGTCTTTCTGTCGGCGGGAGGGAAGCTGTCGGTGCCTGAATACGTCGGCAAGGTGGAGGAGCTCCTGGACAAGGCGCGAAGGGGTGACGACCCAGCGCCTTGGAATACCACGCTGCGCCTTCCAGGTGAAGTGCAAAAAGTATACTTCGTGCATGAAACATACACTGAATTAAGAAGTTCGGGGGTACGTATAGAGAAGCTTGAATTGATGAAAGTCCTTGAACACAGGTTGCTGGAGCCAACATTGCGACAAATGGTTTCCTTATAGACAAGTGAGCTTAGCTGCCACGGTGGTCTAGCGGTCAAAGCGCTCAACCGCCGACCCGCAGGTCGCGTTGTCGAATGCCGGCCACAGCAGCCGCATTTGGACGCAAGCAAAGGGCTAGAGGCGCCTGCACTTAAATTGAGGTGCACATTAAATATCCCCAAGTGGTCCAAATTTCCAGAGACCCTCACCACGGTGTTTCCCATAATCGTATCGTGGTTCTCGGCCGTAATATCCTAAGTACTGTTATTCTCATTGTGGCGCAGACATGAAAAATGACGCATCTTGGACGAGCGCTGCGCAGAAACCACAGAACGCGTGGTCCTCCTGGAACCTTCGCGCAATCATCGAGGAGGCGTTCGAGGGTCGAGAGACTCTCGACGAAGTCGTGGTTCGGGCACCCAGCTACGTCGATGCGCTTCCAGATGTGCTCAAGGTGCGTTTTTTGAGAAATGAAAAAGTATCTGTATACCTCTACTTCGCAAGCTCCCTGTTTCTTCACAGGGACTGAAAAAAAAATGTGACTAATATTTTAGTAAATTAGCCGTTCGCAATAAAAAAAATGATCTTGCAAGAAACGCTTGTCAGGCCAGCAAAAGCGTAATAAAAAAAAGTGGGGCAACCTTAAACTTGTCATAATGATTGTCTGCCATGTCCTACATAATCATTCATCAAGAGAAATGACATTGCGCTATGTTGAATGCATTTTCGTCTAACCAACATGCCGTAAATACAAAAAATATTAAAAGCTGCAATGTCACGATGAAGAATTAACAATGAGGCTTTAGAAGTTAATTTTGTTTTTTATCATAACGAACCTATGATCGCGGTAGTAACGCAAATATTTCTAAGTGTATAAGTTACCACTGTAAATTGATTTACGTTTAGATGCGTGATGCGAGTGGTCAAATTGACGTGGCAAAGAAGCTAACTGGCTAATATTCACAACGCAACGTCTTGCAGGAATGATATAGATTGTAGACTGTGGTGTACAAAAGTACTCTCATTTACTTTCCTAGTACGCATTAAGCATTTTATCGCTCGTAACGTAAGAACGGAAACGCCACGCGACGCAGCAACTGAAGGAGCACGAACTTCTCAATTACCTGGGGTCTGCGCACGGCCCTTCTGGCATCGCGTCTTTTGCCGGCCGGTCCCGAGAAGCAGCTCCTCTGCCGACTCATTGACGTCGATGACACGGCGCCAGCCCAAAGCGCCGCTGAACATTGCGTCCGCCTGATGGGTGTGTGTGCTCGTTTTTTAATGACAATCTCACACAAAGCACATATAATTCAACAAACAATGCTTTTATTTCTTCATTTTTAAATGTACAGACCTATTGCATGCTCGTAAACAGCGGTATACGTGTCGTCTTACTGAGGCTCCTGTAGCGACGTCATGGTACGTTGGCTCCGCCCAGCCCAAACAAAGCTCGCCCCCGCCGTCTATATGATCACGAAACAACTGTTTCATCAGCTGCCTCTGAGCACAGAGCGCCAGGAAGGCTCTAAGCTGCCTTTGAGCGCAGCGCGTCGGGGAGCCTCCAGGACGTGCTATTCTTTGAGGCAGCTTCACAGCTGATGTGCCAATTGTCACGTGATCATTAACGGGGGTGGCGAGCTTTGGGATGGACGGAGTCAGCGCGCCGTGGCGTCGCTACAAGAGCCTCAGTATGTTGACGGCGCCTACTACTACTCACAATCATAAAATGTCTCAAGAAAAATAGTCAGATTATCTCGCTCACCGGACAGCGTGGTTATGGACATATATTACTAATGCTATATATGTTCTGCAGGAGTATGGAAGTCGTTTAGTGCGTGTTCTACCACTGCAGTAACTCGCTCGCTCAGTATAACTTTTCCGTCTTTTTTGCTGACCGACTCGCGGATTCAATCCCGGCCACGGGGTCACACTTCCATGGAAGCAAAGTTTTTTAGGCCCATGTTCTGTGGAATGTCAGTGCACGTTATAGAACACCAGATGGTTTTAAATTGAACAGCCCTTCACTACGGCACGTTCATAACCATATGGTGGTTTTAGCTTGTAAAACCCCTCAAGTTATTATTAGTAATCCTTATGTTGCAGCGCTTGACACCTGTATGAAATGTATTCACGTGTTACAGCAGCTTTCGAACCTTATTCTCAACTCGTACACGGAGGGCTACGATATGCGTTTGAATTCAAAATGAATGCGATAAGGAATTTATACGCAGTACCGTTTTGCGAACCTTCGTACACGTGTTTAGATATGTAAGGTGTAACGTCGCAAAACCACCGTATGATTATGAGAGACGCCGAAGTGGAGGGCTCCGGAAATTTCGACCACCTGGGGTTTTAACGTGCAACCAATAATGATCACACGCGCCAACAGCATTTTCGCCTACATCGAAAAATGCAGCCGCCGCAGCCGGAATTCAATCCCGTGACTTGCGGGTCCGTAGCCGAGTACCTTAGCCACTATATATAGAGCACCACTGTATCGTGTGGATGTCTTTCAACTAAGTAACTTAAATGTACAGCCGCCCATAAAGCGAAAGCTGTACATGGCTCGGAGAAACGAAACACCATTAAGAAGTGGCGTCACGAGCGGCCTCATTGGCTGTGTTATCAGTTACGATCTTCTCAGCGTCGTACCCCAGCATGCGCGCAATTGGCTGCGTTGTGAGTGGCGTCGTCCATCCTATATATCACACGCGCGCATCGGTTTTATACATACTGAGAGCTTCCACATCGGTGAGCCACGGACAATTCTAGAAGGGCGCCGACAGGAAAAATGTGAGAGCTCCCATTCGCCGCCCGATGGCGCAGTCCGGGCAGAAAAAACAGGCCCGGCATGCTGAGTGTCGGCAGCATCTGCGTACCGATGATCCGGCAGCCTTCCAAGCCACGCTAAATCACGAACGGGAATGCAAGCGCTGGTGGCGGGCAGGTCCTGCAAATCAAGCCGATTAGTTAGCTCCAGGCATGCATGTCTTCTCGTTCACTTTGCCGCTGCGCTCTGTTAAATGCCGCTGCTCGAATGGGCGGTTGACGCTCGCACGTTCAGGTTAAAAGAATAAAGGGCGGCTGTACATGGTCACACGGACCCACTCGTCCCTGCGCGATCGTGAGGTTTGACGCGTTACGGTAGGATGTGCACGAACATATAATACTATAGTGTCTGCTTGGGTTTTACGTCCCATACCCACGATATGAATACTGAAGACGCCGTACTGGAAGGGTCCAGGAAATTTGACCTTATGTTGCCACGCGTGTTTTGTATTTTCAGATTTGTTTCTCATAGTTTTCGCCCACACAGCCTGTCATGAATTCTCGGCACAAACTGCGCCTTATTGTTCGAGAAGGTTTGCGATTATTATAGATCGTGTTGTTAAGATTCCGCTCAAGACGCGAACACTTGAGATTATTCCACGGCTTACGCGATGACCAGTGATAATTAAGGCCGGAATATTCGACGGCACATGCATAAATGCCGACGCGCTTCGCCGCTTGTCAGTTGACTGATGGCCGACGCTCTGTTCGCCGCTATCAGTGCCAGCATGTATCGCTGTAATCTGACATTTCATTGACTGGACACAAGTTCAGCCAAATAAAGTTTCATGTTCGACCTACAGGCTGCTCTCTTCGTCGACTTCACGACCCCGTGACAATATGGTTAAATTATCCGGAGCTTCGGAGCTGTTCTTTGAAGCGCACTTTCATCGCACAATACACGGGCTCCACCAATGCGCCTCCGCCGAAATTCAACCGCCGCAGCCGCGATCGAACCAGCGACTTTCACGTCAGCGGATAAGCATTGTATCCACTACATAACCACGGCGGACATGCGCAGAAACGATAAGTCAAGTGGTTCATCGATAAACAGCTTTCTTATTATGTGACACGTGAATGCAGTAAAGTTTATCATTGAGGACACTTTTGACGCATAATAAACGAGGATACACCACACAAAACAACAGGGAGAGTGCGGAGCTTCCAACTAATTTTATTCCACGGCAGAAATATTTCATAGCACAAGCCAACCACACGATGAGTGCGTGATCATTACAGTTTTTCTTGACTAAGGAACCACAATGTGCTGCTGAGAAAACTAATCTATTTTATTGAAGAAAAAGTGAAACCATGCTGACAGAGGCGTGACCCCTTTGCCTTATGTAATAGCCTCTATTACTTCTCTTTCCGTCTGTTTTTTTATCTATCATTTTTTCCTCGCACCATAGTCGAGTGGAACAAACTAACTAATGCAATTGTTTCAGCACCCTCATTGGCATTGTTTTCCTCGAAATTAGAAAGTGCACTAACCAGTTGAATTGTTGAATCGTATTACATACCACTGTACATGCTTGTATAATTGCAGTCTTCTATTTTTTATTGTATGATATTGCCAGTTGAAGTGTGTATTTGCCCTATAGACATTGTATAACCTGTATATATTATATGTCATTGTACTTGCCATTTGTTCATGACTAACTTCATGTACCACCCTGCTAAAATCACCAAAGGTGATTGCAGTATCTGTAAATAAAAATAAATAAATAAATCTACCTGTAACATATATCATCTACTGTGAACCAGTACCAACTAGCTTAAACCATAATTCTGCTAAGAAAGTCTACAGCCTCTGTACCCTTCACAGCGAAATACGAGCCAGAGTTGTCACTCTACGCGCTGACTGCTTTGTCTCCGCTGGTGACCGGCGTGGACACCGAATCCCTGCTGAGCTTCCTGCGGCACCAGCTGTCCAGCGAGATCCGTGCTGGTACGCTGGACTTGGACGACCCGAAACTCGCGGATCAGCTGGCCGACCGCGTCTACTCCATGCGGTGGATCGGACCGGCGCCGAGTTGGGTGCGGAACGTCACTTTACGGGAAGCATACTTCATGAGGTACACTCGACTTTTCCCGAAGACATTACCTCATGCTTCACGAAGCCACACTTTTCACATCCTCGGCTAGAAAAAAAAAAGAAATCGAAGCAGAACGTCGCTAAGACCGGTTAATGCCACTTCCACGTTCACAGAAATATTACTGAAATGGAATATTACTATTTCATTGCTCGGCTTCGATATGTACTAGTTTCGACACCATCTGCACCAGTCTTCGCGATGTTAAGTCAAGCTGCTTCATATTTCAAAATCATAACGTTTAGTGTGACGCAGGCGAGTGGTGGTGCTCACTGAATTCCTGTTATTTTTTATTCGCTGTGATCTGCGTGGATCATACTTACTGGGCTTGTTTTATATAAAAAGCGTTTTTCCTTTGTGGATTGGAGGTGGCTAGTGGGGTTTGCCATAGATGTGTGCAGCGTCCCTCTTCAGGGCAAAGGGGTGCGAAGGTTCCTCACACCTATACTCTCCATCATGTGGGGCAGACTTTGCGATCTCCCTCTACGTCTTTGGTGACTAAGGAGGGTGGCCGCCCCTGTCCTCCCGTGCGAACGCCTATGGGGCTTTCTTGATTTCGGTGGCCCATACCAGTTATGAGCTGCATTACGCTCCAGTGGCTCCGCTGTGCTGCTAGAAGGCATACCACGATGGATATGTGCCGGCTCTTGAGTGGAATCAATCTGCCGCGGTGGTCTATAGTGTTTGTGGTGTCCGACTGTTGACCCAAATTCGTGGTATTGTATCCCGAACGTGGCGGTCACATTTCGATGGAGGCAAAGTGCTTGAGGCCCGTGCACTTGGATGTGGGTACACGTCAAAGAACCCCGTGTAGCCAAAATGTCCGGAGCCCTCAACTACGGCGTCCCGCATAATCATATCGTGGTTTTGGGAACCCCAAAAACATTGAGTCAAGTCGATCGTTGAAGTAGTTAGGTTAGACACCATCTGTCCGTGGCAGATTGAAATTGTGAAGAGTATGGTGATGGCTAACTAATCTTATAGCCTGATTGCCTGAAGGAAAAAACGTTACCAAACTTCTTGCACTACATTACTACACGTGAAAATGTGGTGCTGTGGTCGCTTTGCTTCCATCTCATTCTGCTTTTGCAGACCGAGGGCCGTTGTGTCGATGAAAGTAAGATTACGCAGGACGAGCATGTATCTGAGGTTCACATCAGTTTAGATAGCGTTTACGTCTTCTGCAGCAACTGGCAGGTTTAGTGGCGGTAGCTTAATGTAGAGCGCCGATTCCTACCTGTCTCCACTATATCGGGCTAGCGATATCACCGTACTTGGTTCATCGCTTCAGGTTTTACGAAGGCAAGGCGGCACCTGTTGGGTCCGCGGATACGTCGCAGGCCATGTTCGCCTGGATGCAAGAGAAGGCAGTGAGCGAACACCTGGCGACGAATGGCCCGCACCTAACCACCGGTGACCAGCCTTGGCTGCCAGGTCTACTCTCGACACGCTCCATACTTGCGCTGCGCGAAGGAGAGGCCACCGACATCGATGGCGTGCCTCGGCCTGGAAGCTACACTCCAGGTTGGTCATCGTGATTCGGCACGCAGTAGCACTCGTGAAATGGCAACAGCGGCGAGTTAGGTGCAACAGATAGATGCAGATGCATCTTGTACTGTTGAATATCGCACAAGGACAAGCACAAAAGAAGGATCGTAGGTGCATTTTTCAATGCAAAGCATACTTGAAGGGCCAGTAAACAAGCCCGAAGTCCAAAAATTCCCATAAACAGAAATATGTAAACGTTTTCTTTGTGAACATGCTACCACAAGAATTTTGGGAACACGTGCTATATTAAGGAGTTTACATGAGTTATAAGATTGGTTTCAGCTGGTTTCAAATTTTCGCGCGGCCTCGCCACAATTCTCCCTCGCAGGGAGGGGAAAGCATAGCCCGTCGTCCTGACTGGTTTATAACAACCGACGAGCTGCGCGCCACGTCTAGTCACCGATCGGTGACTTTGCGTCACTACATGTCAAAGGAGGATTGGTCAGGCGTATAGAAAAGGAGCCCAGAAATCGATTTTTTTAATGGAGGCTCTGTGCGCAGCACAGTACTGTAACATTTGGAAAACATTGCCGTGGCCTACTCTACGAGTTGCCGGGCTTCTTTGGGTGTACTTTGGGGGTTCTAAAAATACTCGAAGCCTGTTGACTGGTCCTTTAACAAATTTTAGTTAAATGACCGTTTAGTTTAATGAATACATTACACAATTTGTATGACGATAGATTTCTGTAGGACTAACACATATATGCCAATGGGTAATGGCGCGCTCACCGCTGTTTCGCAAACTTGACATCTACAAATACGGCATTGCGTGACGGGACTATATGACGAACATAAGTGACAGGTGGTAGCGTGAAAATATTCAGACGCATTTCACGACATTTAGATCCCATATTAATGGTACGCTAGCGACCGGTTCACTGGCTCAATGTACACCAAAATACTTATTAGGTGACGTGACACCTTTGACAAACGTAAATGGTACTTGGAAATACGAAAATATTGACATTAATATCATGTACAGCGTAATTTAAACGCCACGCTCATAGTGTGCTCACGGCCATTTCGATAGCTTTGAAATACACTAAATTGGTATTGCATGGATAGACTGTGTGACGAGCAAATTGGCAGGCGTTAATGCCAAAATAACCACGTGAATGCTACGTACAGCGTGACGTACGTGCATGCCATACTCATGGAATGCTTCTGTGCATTTCGTTAACTTGATATATAACCCGATTGCCATGTGAGGGATGCATGGGGTGAGTGCTTCACGAACGCAAATAGCAGATCATCCATTGTATATACCACAATACGCGTTTTATTAGCATTTTATATGCCAGATTGCACATGCATGCGCGCACGCCAAACATGTGATATATAATCAACTAAATGTTACGACATAAGTTACTCTATTTGCCTCAAATGCAAACAAGGTTATGTATTCAGCTCTTTGCTGGCTGCTACGCATTACATCGGTTCCTGCAGTGCGTGGGAGCTATCGAATTTTCGGACAATGAGACCTTTTGTCTCAACACCTAATAACGAATTCTATTGCTTTATTAACTCGTTGCAAATCATGCTTTTTACTGTTATTTTACTTGTGTTAACCGACTCCTTGTGCGACTGCACCTGCGACTGTTTACTGAAGATGACAATAGTGCATGGGTTTTAAGCCTTTTGGCCTAATCTGCGATAGAACTGAGATTTAAGCAGTGTATATTACACGTGTGCCTCTGAGTAAGTGTGTTGCTGTGAAGCAAGCACCTATCGCGTCTACGTATTTCTGCGCTAATCAGTCGTTCGGCTCGATATGTCTTGCTGAACATTTTATGCTGCGTGTCATATTTCTAAGCAGTAATGACGAGTGGCTCATTCCAAAAGAACGAAAGTGTTTGTAGTTCTGTATGCTTATTAATTTTGCACCGTTCTGTGCACGATCACATCTTTCTCGACAAAATTCCTTTTTGTGCAGACTTCCTTTTCTTTCTTTTTCTCAGTTTTGTGCCCAGTTCTATCGTCAGCTATAGATTGGAGCTTAAGGGGCAAAAGCGCACAGTCCCTATATTCCCCTTCTTTTCTTTCTAAGAATAAACCTGTGATGACCAACGTGATAGAGCTTTTAGACATTTATCAGTCCGAGTCGGTTTAGCGTTTTCTTTTAGTGCTCTAAACATCCTCAGGCGAACAAAGGAACAAACGGGTGTGATTCTGTGGTTGCTCAGCAGGTATGCGTGTCATGACTAGAGGACCGGATTTCAAATCCCGACCATGGCAGCTCCATTTCGATAGCGGTTCGAGATACAAAAAGACCCGTGGATTTCAATTTATCCGCACTTCAAAGAACTCCAGGTGACCCTGAATAATCAGTATCCTATTGTGCGGCGTGCCTCATCGTTACACCATGGTTTCACAGGCAAAACTTTATTATTCAATTGTTTTTCTTTTTTTGCTTCGCTGGCTGCATGTATATGAGAAGCCTAGGTCATGGGGTTTCCCTAAAGCCATTTGGTCATGTTTTTATATTGACTTTCGAAATAAAAGAAAAGCGCGACGATAGGCTGCTTAAACGAAACACTACGCAGGTGCCCCCGGCCGCATTGGACTTACTGTGGGGCACGCATCCGTCGACAGCCATGCTACAGGTGGCACGTATCGGTGAGTGTATCTCGCTGCCATGTTATTACTATTGACTAGTGTAGATACTAATCTGACTATAGTCGACATTCATTCTGGTTAGTATGACATTGAAAAAAAAAACGTGTCAAGAGCTGCGGGAAGGACTTTGTAGATGTGAGCCGCCTTCTTCGGCAGTTATTTTTAACGTTTCTAACTGTTGGTTGCCCTGTGCTATATTTATTCTACCAAGGTCGACAGCTGGGCTAGTTGCTATGGTTCATTTAAATATGTGGCTGCTTTAAATAGTGCGGAACTATATTAGTCCCAATGTTGCACAGTTTTTGTAACAGATATGCATGCATGCGCACTGTGGCACGCGTGCATCTATGCATCTATGCACGCGTAGCAAAAGATGCAAAAGTAGCAAAAGATGCACGCGCATGCGGTTAGCGTCGTTGTGGAGAACATTTTAGGATGATGTCAACTATGAACCATGTTTTTACACTTGCGCAGTGTAACTGGCGTACTTTCCAAAGCAGCGCTTAGTGCATGACGGGCTTCTCGATAAGCGATACTGCGAGTGAGTGTGTGGGCATGAAGCGATTGCGGACTATAACGGCCACGCCTTTAAGGACACCACATTGGCACAACACGAGCATGTTGTGTCGTTATCGCTTTTCTCTCTCCCTTTCACGCACGCACACGCACGCACGCCATGGTGGTCTAGTGGTTATGGTACTACAGACTACTTCATATAGTGACCCACAGGTCGCGGGATCAAATCCCAGCCGTGGCGGCAGCATATTAGATCGAGGTGAAAATGTCACCTCAGCTGGTAGAAAGTTCCGGATTCTTCCACTACGGCGTTTCTGATAATCACATCATGGTTTTGGGAATTTAAAGCCCAACAATTGTTGTTACGCACACAAATCTGCGGGTCATCAACGTGGGGATGATGCCTCATAACATCGCGTAAGCTGAACCACACCATAACGAGAACTAATAGAGCGAATTATCGGTTATATCGAACTACATAAGCACAAACTTCATTTCTTATCAAACTATGAGCCTAATTTCAATTACATCGGTTCTTTGTTTAATGAAATTACAGATGTGACTGCTGTTACGATACCAACTATTGGTGGAGCAAGGCAATCAGTGGGACCATCTCTTGGCGCGAACGCTGAGACCGAGCTGTGGACGCCAAGCCCGACTGTTTTCTGGGTGTACCGGCTGTTTGCCTGCTACGGGACGTTATTAATAAACCCCCTTTCAAAATGGTAGAAGTGCTGGTATAGTTAAATTTGAAACTTCGAATCTGGAAGCTGCCTACTGCGTCGACAATGCCTGTTCAGGCCACAGAGCAAGGCACAGCCCAGCAAAGCACGGCCCAGTCTCCACTGGTAATCGTGCTACCATCCTGCGCCAACGTGATTTCCCCCCTTGTTTTCAGCGGCACCGAGGGCCAAGGTGTGAAAGATAGGCAGCTGTTGTTTCAAAAGGTGAGCACCGCCAACGAATGGAACGACCCCTCGAAACTAAAATGGGTCCAATTTTACCTCAAAAACGTCGCCAACCTGTAGTTCACAAACCACAATTCAGAATTCTCCACGTGGGCCACCTCCAAGACTATCCTCGCCGCTGTGTTTGGTCGCCCAGCAGTACGCAAGCTCCATACCGAACAGCGCCTACGTGGACGTATGCAAAGGCTGCCGAGTGAAAACTTCACGAGTTACACCGAAGATGTCATCGATCTATGCAGGCGCCTGAACCCCGAGATGACCGAACAAGACAAGATCTGGGCGTACTGGCAAACAGCCGGGTACACCCAGAGACAGTCGAACGGGCTCGGCGTCCACAGCTCGCGCTCAGCTCTCGTGCTTCACACCAAGAGATGGTTCCACTGACGATGGCCTTGCTCCGCAACTACAGCTGTAACGGAGAAATATTCGGTTCGGATAGGCGCAAAGCTGGAAAGTTAGCACATACAGTGAAATAAATATTAAGATGCAATTTACAAGAACATTTGCATTCGCTTGAAAATGTCGCGGAAATTTCGGTCATATAAAAAAGGCGCATTGTTTGGTAGCACCATTGTATGAATTGGTTGCTTTGAAGCATAGAATAAGGCACTCTTTGAATATAGAGCTAACCAGACTGTCAATTTGTTAGAGCGAATAGTTACCTTATTTACAACGAATATGGGATATCACGAACTTGTTCGTCGTTTCCTGGCTACTTTGTTATATCGAGGTTGGCCTGTAATAACTGCAGTATTCGGGCTCCTGGCTTTCTCCAATAGGCGTGCGTGCCTTCAAGACAGTGCTGGAGCACCTGTTCAACATGCAGCAGCGGCAGCACACTGACGCCACGGGGCCGCACGTGCTCGACAACTGCACCCCGTGGGACGCGGCCCCGCGCCAGCTGGACATGGCTCTCGAGTCAATGGCGCTGTCTCTGGCACTGCCGTGCTTATCTGGCATGGCCGGGAGCCCCGGAGCTAGTGCTGCCGACGCTGCAGCATCTGGAGCCCGAGCAGCTTTTCTACGTCTTCTACGCGCTCAACCAGTGCGAGGTCAATGGGCCGGACGTAGAGCAGACCCTCGCTTCCAGAAGCAAGGCGAGTCACTGCATGGCGCTGTCAATGGCGCTGAATGCGCTATCATTGCCTAATGACCATCAAGCCCACCATACAACCTTATAGTCGACTACCTTGTTATAGCCGCGCTGTTCTGTGTCTGTGTTCGGTGTCTTTCGCTTTCTTCCGTCTTGGATGCGATATAACTTTGGATGCAAGGGGAAGTTCTTTGGCACAAGCGGTGCTATTTGAGAAAGCAATACGAGGCTACTGAGTACAAAACTTGACACAGTGCGTGTATCGTTAGCCTCAATGCAGATACAGTCAATACCTTCTATTTGTAGTTTTCGTTGCGCAAATAGCTGTCAGCTTGGGAGTCTAACTTGTGGTGAAAAATAGAAAAGTGCTATTGGAATCCGGATTACGTCATTTACATGGATACGAACAACTATGAATGGGGTCAAATTGTCTATTCTTCAGGTGTTCAGTGACTCGTCAGCCACAGTCTATCTTGCCAGATTGACCATGACAGGATATACCGGCAGTAAATAAACCATTAAACCACGATAAAAATAGGTAGACGAGAGCTTATCTCAACGTTAGTCTTCGTCTGTTTTTAGTGTTGCAGTAATTTGAAAAGATTTATCAACATGATGTATCAACATGGCCAGCTCGCCGCTTCAACCACTACGCCATACTGTTAGATTGACCATCACGAACGGTTCTGGTTGGTGAATGTATGGGGAACGCCGAGTTAAAGCTTTGCCCCCCTTGATGTAGAACCCTGCGCACGTATGTGCTTGTTTGAATAATCGAGTTACCAAGAAGCGTTCATCCAGAGGTTTTGCGGAACTATCAGCACCATACTTATCGCAAGAGAAATGCGTTGGTGCTGCCATCCAAGCGACAGATCAGCTATCTTCACAGCATGCATGTTGATGTTGATTCACAAATGTTTAATATTTATATATCAATTTTATTTAAAAGTTGCTGACACACGAACTCCTTACCATACGAGCTTGTCTTAGTTTACGTAACATAGTTGTATTTTTCGGTGGTTAAGAGTAATCGTAATGCTCATTTGTTAAAGCTATAGTGAATATTTGCTAGAGAATAAAGTGTGGAGTTCTGGGGCTGTTTCGAAAGAGGTTGAATTAAGGTTCCTGGGATGCTTTGCAAACAGTTACGTTATTATTCTGATCATACTATGTGAATAATATTCGATTCGTATTAGATTTTAAGATTCACTATTCTAATATTAAACTAAGGTTCTAGTATTGATTATTCTCACACCTCTAGTGCCTAAAACTAAGGCTTTACCACGCTGAACGTCATGCAGCCGCGCGACGACGGGGCCCGACCCGGCCGTGCTGCCTGGGTCAACCGGGTGACGGCCAGGAACGAGGACTTCGCCAGGGCGTTCAGGTGTCTCACGCCGCTGAAGCCCCCGAACCCGTTTCGGGACTGTGGCCTGGTTCCCCCTCGGCCTCCCGAGGCACGGACGGTCCGCGCCTGAGCGTTCGGACTTCGACAGACAACCTTCAGGCGACCCTGGGAAATTGAAAAAAGTCATCGCTTTTTACATAAATATATCACACGTTCATTATACTGCTAGCTGTGATAGCTCGTCCAATTACGAAACGTGAAAAGACGTCATGTTCGTAGACGAGCCACCTGTCAAGAGGAAGGCAGGAGTGCGAACGTCTTTGGACGAACAGCTGCGGCAAATAAATGCTCATTGTCGACTCGTAACAACTGCTGAGAAAGATCAATCACCACCCAAGACACTTCGCAACGCCATCGGACACTCTTACGGATTATTTGTCATATTTATTATACGCCGTACCCTGCTACGTAATGTCGGTGAAAAGTGGCTAGATATTTCCTTCAATATAACTTCCCAACTAACCGTAAGGGCTCAACGACTCGATATGACTGACCATAAGGCTACGGGCACAATTTCCGTAGCCTGTGTGATAGTGTTTAGCGTGTTACCGAGTATACAGCCATGCACAGTGAGGAGGTCCAGCTCTGTACGCGTTGAAAAGGATAAGAAGCATGTCAGTACAGCCAGTCACTGAAACGTTTTTCTTTAAACTACACTATTGTATTGTACCGCATTTCATGCTAAAAGTTCATACCATGGGAAACTCGCTGCCGAATTCGTATAGTTGAAGCTATATAGCCCATGTATTCATCCGCTATTGTGAAGTGGTCTGTTTCTAGGCTGGACGTCCGGCAGCCTGAAGGCCACCTACAACGCTTCTTTTCTTATTAAAAAAAATATTTTACTTTTTGGCCTTCCCACAAATAGTTTTTCACCACCTACCTGAGAGCCCGAGTCCAAACCTAAGTAAGTACCAGAGTTAAAACTGTATTCTCAATTTTCTTGGATGGACGGACTTGCAGTATTTCTCGTGATGTGTCGGGCAGGTGGACGTACAGATACAGCTATTTCGTTGACTCGGCACTGAAATGCTTGCGCTTTTAGACTTTTGAATGACCTCACCAAGAAATGGCAAAAATATTAGGCCAGGATACTGCAAGAATATGATGGTGCACGACGTAGCTCAAGGGCTTATGGACTACGTTACGGCCGAGAGTATATACAGGGCCAGTACCTTTCGCGACCCCTGAGAACGAGGATTGAGAGGAGCGGCAATAGCAAGATCGCATGGCTAGATTTTATGACATCACACAAAAGATGAGTCTTGTATCCCTCTCAGCGAAAAATAATAGTCTATCGATTAAAAAGTTTATCCGGTGGCAGCAGTTAGAGAGCAGACCTTATCCGCACGCGGAGAACTCTCATGTCATTTACTTAGACGTATGTGCAAGACTGATATATGCAAGAACTGTGGTTAACACATTATGGGAATGCCGGGGGTTAGCATACAATACGGGGGCCCAACCTGCAGCGATCGCCGCCGCGCGCGCTGGTCGATTGTTCCACAGCTTTGTCTTTGAATTCGTGCTATCCAAGAAGCCGACAGGACTCCAGGGTGTCATTTTGGCGGGTCCTATTGCCTGTCCCACAAATTTGCAGAACCGACCTTTCAATAAATTCTCTGGCTGATAGTGTGGACTTACCGCTGCTCTTCATTTATTCATTTCCAAAAAAGAAAATATGATTCGAATGACAGAGCTGTCAATGGTGGAACACCAGGAAGTCATCCAGGCATCTCGCTGCGAAAACTCAAATGTATGTGCTGTGACAATATTTAGAAATAGGACAAGTAGTTAATGCGGGATGGGCCCAAAATTATGGTGGGCCTCCTTCCTTCTTTTGTGTGTGAAGAATTTTTTTTACGAAAATAGGGGAAGCTGCAGTATAGAACCGTAAGGCATGGCGGTTCTACTGCCGCCAAGTTCCCACAAGGTGGTGTCACCACTATTGTCCCCGTTTTTGCTACCGCAGTTGGGAGCATATACGGCAACTCTATACAGCACGAGGCGAGTTTTCCGGTATGGCTCTACAAGACTGGCGCTGGTGATTAAAGATGGCTTTTGACAACAGCGGGAAAGTGAAACGCGACAGGGAACGTTTTTTGGCTTCGTCTGCTCGAGCTTTGAACTTTGAAGACTGATAACATCAATTTTCGTGCACCAACCTTCACAATTCTTTTTTGCGTTTGTCTCGGCATTTATTGCGACACGCATTCTAGCACTAAAGGCAGTCGCCAAACCATCGCAGGCCCCTTTGAATGAAAGATAACTTCTCCATAACATCTTGGTGTTTCTGGCAGCGCCTGCCTAGCTCATGCGTTAAATAAGAGTGTTCTGGGCGAAAGGCTCCGCTGAGAGTTTGCATTACCACAACAACGGTCGAAAAAGCAATCGAAAGTAGCCCGTGTCACACGCGATAAAGCCCAACATTTGCCTGACGTCGCACAAAGCAAAGCGTTCCGCATCATGCGAAGCCTCACACGATTCATGCCAGCGCGGCGCTCAGGAGAAGAAATAGAAACATGGTCGTATTTGCCATAGAGCTTTCTACAATACTTACTAGAGGGAACTCAGGCGCTAGTTTCTATGGGAGCTGCAACGCACGGCGCTTATGGAGTTTGGGAATTATGACACAATTTTGTTAAATTTTCGTCCTTTCGGTTTCGTTTCGCTATCGCACGGCTTGGAGCTGCTTTGTCCCGAAACGACAATCAGGTGAAGTTAAGCAACTGCACTTCACCACCTCCACCTTTTAGGTCCACCAACTGAAATCGGTTCACGAATTTCACAACGCTCATTTCTTTTATTCAAAACAAAACGAAAATACAACAATAAACAAATCCACGACTTAGTTCAAAGCCTGAAAGTACAAGACTAGGCAAACTTGTGTACTACTATAGCCCTACCCATCATTCCCATGGTGGCTGAACGATCTCAGCGCCACAGTCAAAAGTCAGTGCAATTCCAGCATCAAAACATAGCCTACGAGATGGTATGCACCGCGCGCTTGCTATCTCAGAGGTCATGATCAAAGACCCTATCCTCTAGTCGCAACAGCAAGCTGGCTTCTCAACAATGCAGACCGCGGGGAAAATGTTTTGCGCCGAATCTGGCAACCACAGAGCAGAGGGGGAAATATGCGCAAAGCAGGATCATAGCTGTAAGGTGTGACGTCATACAAAAGTTTAGCCTTATCACGGGTGATAAGGGCCTAAACTTTTCCGGCTGCTTTCTGATGTTTATTGTAGTGAAGCCAACGTATGGGAAAACATTTGGCTTGGGAAATACGCACACCACGTGCATCGCAACAAGGTGTGACATCAGAAAAAAGTTGAGCGTTATCAGCGTTGATAGGGGCCTAAACTTTTTGGGCCGCTTTTCGACATTCACTGCAGTAAAGCAAACGTATCAGGGAACCTTTGGCTCGGGAAACACTCATACCACGTGCATCGTAACAAGGTGTGACGTCAGACAAAACTTGAGCCTTATCACGCATGATAAGGACGTAAACTTTTTCGGCTGCTTTTCGACATTCGCTGCAGTAAAGCGAACGTATCAGCGAACCTTTGGCTCGGGAAATACGCATACCACGTGCGTCATAACAAGGTGTGACGTCAGAAAAAACTTGAGCCTTATCACGGGTGATAAGGACCTAAACTTTTTCGGCTGATTTTCTACATTCACTGCAGTGAAGTAAACGTATCAGGGAATCTTTGTCTCAGAAAATACGCATACCACGTGTATCCTGACAAGGTGTGACGTCAGACAAAAGTTGAGCCTTATCACGGGGGTGATAAAGCCTCAACTTTTTCGGCTGCTTTTCGACATTCACTGCAGTGAAGCAAACGTATCAGGAATCTTTGGCTCATAAAATACGCATAAATACGCATACCACGTGCATCCTAACGAGGTGTGACTTCAGACAAAAGTTGAGCCTTATCACGGGTGATAAAAGCCTAAACTTTTTCGACTGCTTTTCGACATTCGCTGCAGTGAATCAAGCGTATCAGGGAACCTTTGGCTCAGCAAACACGCATACCAGGTGCATCGTTGCAAGTTGTGACGTCAGACAAAAATTGAGCCTTATCACGCGTGATAAGGGCTTAAACTTTTTCCGCTGTTTTTCGATATTCACTGCAGTGAAGCAAACGTATGGGGGAACCTTTGGCTCGGGAAATACGCATACCAGTTGCATCGTTGCAAGGTGTGACGTCAGACAAAAGTTGAGCCTTATCACGGGTGATAAGAGCCTAAACTTTTTCGACTGCTTTTCGACATTCACTGCAGTAAAGCAAACGTATCAGGGAACCTTTGATTCAGAAAATACACATACCTGGTGCATCGCTGCAAGGTGTGACGTCAGACAAATGTTGAGCCTTATCAAGGGTGATAAGGGCCTAAACTTTTTCGGCTGCTTTTCGATGTTTATTGTGGTGGAGCCAACGTATGGGGGAACACTTAGCTCGGGAAATACGCATACCACGTGCATCGTAAGAACGTGTGACGTCAGACAAAAGTTTAGCCTTATCAAGGGTGATAAGAGCCTAAACTTTTTCGGCTGCTTTTCGACATTCACTGCAGTGAATCAAACGTCTCAGAGAACCTTTGGCTCAGAAAATACGCATACCAGATGCATCGTTGCAAGGTGTGACGTCAGACAATAGCTGAGCCTCATCACGCCGCCTTTCAATGTTTATTGTGGTGAAGCCAACGTATGGGAGAACATTTTGCTCGGAAATTTGGATACCAGGTGCATTGTTGCAAGGCGTGACGCCAGACAAAAGGTGAGCTTTATATATGATGGGTGATAAGAGCTTTTGTTTTCCCGCTGCTTTTCAACATCTCTTGCGCGAGAGCATATAGCGAATCTAGAGCTCTAAAATACACGAGATCTGGCCATACATTCATTACGCTGGGGACATCAGGGTACTGTTTGTTGATCTACTGCGCAGACATGCATGCAGTTATTCGCGTGGGAAATTAAAACGCTATGGAGGTACTTTCGATGTAGGTACGTATTAACAGGATCAAATATGACGTGTTTTTGAGGTGCGTAAGTACTTACTAGCATACTAGTTGAGAATTTCCCGTACGTCCCTCGTAACGAAAGCTGTAAAAAATGTTTATAAAACAAACTGTGATAGTGGAGCTGGGTTTCGAACCTATGACCTCATGCTCAGAAGGCCAACGCCTTAACCACTCGGGTACACACGCGCTCTTGCAGTACGTGCACATATCTCAACTATACAGATGCCTTGTATACACGATTTTGTAAAAAAAAAAAAATCTAGTGACGAATTTTTATGATGGTTTTTATTTTTACAAACCGAGACCCTTCCCTGCAGTTCGGCGGTGGGAGGAGTGAACAGTGGGTTTCATCGATTAGTTTTTAAAAAGCCACCACAGAAATGCCCTCACAACCAACTTTAATAAAGCATGAAGGACGACTCGACAATAGAAAAATACTATATTTCTAGAGGCTGTAAGCTTACTTTTGTGACAGAAATGCTCCCACAACCATTTATTAAAACGCGAATAATCACTCAAAAATAAATAAAAAAACTTTTGTGACAAAAATGCCCCCACAATCAATTTTATGAACACGCAAAGAATCGCTCGGAAATAAAATAATACTTTTGTGACGGAAATTCTCCCACAATTTTATTAAAACGCGATAAATCACTCCGAAATCAATAAATACAAGACTTCATAGGCTGCCCTTGGGACAGAATTAAGTGTCACGTGCCACAACTAATTTATTGAAACGCACAGAATCACTCAGAAATAAAAAAAAGATACAATTGGCTTATGCAGCTAGAAGTTCATAACACCCTAGATGAGATCATTGAAGCCCAAGAGACTGCACAGCTAATGCGCCTGTCGTCTAAACCGGTTGGTAGGAAGATTCTGTCCATCCTAGGCCTCAGTCCGGCGCTCATAGAGGATCACCGTCTTCAACTACCGGATGAACAGCGTGCTGCCATCCAGGTCTCTCCGTTTCCGCGAAACGTCCATCCTCAGCACAACGTAGGAAGGCGCCGGGCTAGCGCCATTACCCCCCTGAAGAACATCAGGAACGATCCTCATTCACGTGTTTTGTCGATGCCGCTCAGTACGGTCGCCCAGCTAGGGTTTTCTGTCATTTCCGTCAATCATATGGGCTCTATTATCATTGCTGCGTCAGTTAGGGACTCGACTCTCTCAAGAGCCGAACAGTTCGGCTGTAGCCCTTGCCCTTTTGGATGACAGTAGATCGCAAATCTTCACCGACTCAAGGTCAGCGGTGACGGATTTTGCCTCTGGTTCAATCTGTACTGAAGTATTTAAACTACTTGAAGATAGGACACTTTCTCCACATACCATTACCTGGTTTCCTGCACATCTCGAACCCCTACTGGACTCTAGTAAACCTGAATGACACTGCCCACTCCCGGGCGCGCGCACTGACCCTCCGCGCTGCGGAGAACTTAGGTCCGCAGGTTGGCAGCGAGATGTTCAGGGACGCTTTACGTACATTCAGTGAAGTGGCTAAACACTACCAGTTGAGTAGGCGGTCACTTGCTCCCCCGCAAAACAAATTGTCTAGACCTCGGGCCATCATGTTTAGAATGCTCCTGACCAGGTCCTATCCAAGCCTGTTTTTCCTCAGCATAGTCTCCTCAGAGGCTTTTGACTCTACTTGTCTTGATTGTGGTGAGGTTAGTGACTTAGCACATATGCTCTGGCAGTGCCCCTCGTTACGGGGCCCAAGTCAGCTCACAGAAGATTGGGACTCTGCCTTACGAAGTTCAGAGTTGCTACCACAACTACGGCTGTCCAGGGGACTACGATGCGGCGGTGAGGCTAGGCCTCCCCGTTCCTAAGTGGGAGCGGCCCGCGAAGTTGCTCTAAAGGAGCAGCGTTTCTCAGGAGCCAATAAAGATCTTTGTCTGTCAGAAATGCTCCCCCCCCCCCCCCCCCAATTTCCTTTAAAATGCAAGGAATGACTTCGAAATTCAGAAATACAAGATTTCCAAGGACTCTAGGCTTATCCTTGAAACAGAAATGCCCCCAAAACCATTTAATTTAAATGCTTATAGTCACTCAGAAATTGGAAAAGGCACAAAGACCTTTGCGACTAAAATGTCCCCCAAATTTTATTAATGATTCAGAGATTGAGAAAAATACAAGAGTTCCAAAAGTTATTAACTTAACAGGTAAATCAAAATGCAAGGAATCACTCCGAAATCGAAAAATACATTTGCGACATAAATGCCCCACAACCAATTTTATTAAAATGCAAAGGATGGCTCCGAAACTAAAAAAATACTAAATTTTCAAAATCTTTTATGCCAGGACTGTCCCTACAACGAAAGTTATTAAAATGCAAAAACGATTCCTCAAATGTAAAAAAATAAAAGATTTTCAATGTCTACAGGCTTTCATTTATGGATACGTAAGCATTTCCATGCTTATTCAAGGAGACTATCTGCCCGCTTCCCACGTAATAGAAGTCACTGTGCGATTTGTGTTAAGTGGGAAGCGGACAGATGGTCTTCTCAAAAAGTTTCTGCAAAAGAATCAAAAAGCGGAGCTGGGTATCGACTACAGATCCGCACTTTGGGAATGCAAGTGCCTTAGCCTCTTCCCTATAATCCCATTCATCACTTATAGTGGGCGACACAAGCATGCCGGTATGATTTGAGTACAGCTAAACCTGCTTACAGCAGACGCTGATATAGCATATAAACACTTATCAAGAAGTAAACACAGTAAAGGTTTGTTAATTCAGATTTCATGGGACCGAAAAGAATGCCCGAATCAACCGACTTATGAAAAGTATAAAAAAAATTATTACATCAATGCATTTTTCTTTATGAATACGTAAACCTTGCAACTTTTTTGAAAAGAGTCATGTAAAAGCCTCAACTTTCGTCATTTACGACTTCGTTCACATTAGCTCTCTGGACATCGAAGGATAGCACGTTTTTTTTTCCGTTCGTCGGCTCCCTTTGTTTTTGGAGCTCGCTCGGACTTGCCAACAGTGCTTTACGCCTGTGGCGAATGCTTACCTTTCGTTGCTCCTTCCAAGTGCTAGGCCGAAGAGCGGTGCGGTGTGTTCGTACGAGGTCATACTAGTCCGACCCGTACCTCTCTAAGCCAACGCGAGCGTATGCCCTCGCTCGAGCGATTGAGCCTTGTTGACACTGATTGTGAGAGCAGGCAGCATAGTATCGAGAGCCCGTTTCCTCCAGCGGCCTGTCAAGCCCAAACCGCATGCAAGCAACTTCCTAGCGACAGCGACAAACTTGCTTCGTCATGTCACAACTGCTTCAACCACGTCGGCGACAAAGCGTCATTGTTGCTTGAATAAAAACTATCCCGTGCATACCCATAAAGTATGAATAGAAGTTTGAAAGTTGGTAATTGACAATATGCCAAATTTATTAGTCTTGTGTGACATAAGAAAACTACATAAGCATTTGTTGACCTTCTTTTTTCGCAATCTTTGGTTTAACCACGACGGGCTGCCCAGAAGCATACGCTTCAACGCACTTCGCACGACGATTTCGAATTGTAGCAAGCGACGAAATTTTCACAAGCTACCGTAGAGACATCAAAACAAATCTTTGATAACGAGGTTTAAAACAAAATACGGCCGCTCTTTCACTTTCCACGTGAGATGAGAATGAAACAAAGGTGATTGATAGATAACTTTTAAGTACGAGTGGATAAAAAGCATCGAGATCAAATTGCACCCGAAGTGAGGACCAGCGGTGCAGCTATGTAGCTAGAAATCGCCACGCTGGCTCCCCCGCGTCAAGCAATCTTTTCTCGTTTTCAAGAAACGCGCGACGTGACAAGCGGCGGTGACGGATGGGCCTCCGTGACAGCAAATCTTGGCGCTCGTCGCTGTCGCTAGGAAATCATGTGCATGCGGTTAGGGCTTCACCGTGAATCGGAAACATGCTCGCGGCACCCTTTGAGTTGTACTTTTGCCAGTGGCGTAGGTAAGCCTCGTTTGCTTTTCCGCCGAATTTCGTAGCAGGCGCTGTACTGAGTTTTTGGTGTTGCAACATTTTTTAGAGCAGTACTGTGTCCTGACCACGCTGCACTCAACACTTTGGCTGTCCGAACGCGCGTGTGCAGCGGCGAAGCGAAAGTGAACACGGCCCTGTTGCTCGCAAAGACCCAACCCAAGGTAGTGGCCGTACTCCTTCGGCATACGTGTACACTACAACTATAGGCATGTAGGCCATTATTACAAGCTTTTAAACTTGATTAGGCTTAGGCAGAAGGCACCTGCTTTGGACAGTGCCACCATGTCTTTCGTTTTCCAGTGCTGGCATGTGGACAGCCGTGCTCGCCCAAAGTGGTTGTGAAATCCTATGAGGGTGCCAAGCAGACTACGCAATGTGGATGAATACATCTCAAGTGATTTTTGCCCTTTGTAATAGCAAAGTAGCTCTCCAGTCTCTTCAGTGCTTCAACAACTTCTCGGACGACAGCAACAATATTACCTAATACCCCTCTTGCAATGATTGTTTACTGCACACTTGTATGTGATGAAAAACTACACTGAAATGACTCCACACACATCCCTCATGAGGAGCTCAGGCAGTGCTTGCAAAACCATTTATTCCACCTCAGAGCCAGACCATGGGCCCAGGAATTTACACTGGGGTTTGATGTTCTTGGCTGGCTCAGACAAGGCTCGGTCTTCAGTGAGCATGGGCTTGTTGGTAAAAAAAGAGAAAAAATGACGATGTCCAGCTGTTCACACCCCCCTTACATGCACATCACCTGCACAAAGAGGCCAGCACAAAATAATCAACAAAGACTGTGCATCACAATGCACAAACAACAAGCTGAATTGATCCAGGACAGATAACAATACAGTAAAACCTCATTAATTCGAATTTGATTATTTCCAAATCCCGCTTATTTCAAAGTATTTCCATGGTCCCGTATTTTGCAATGCAAGTTTGAGCGGATAAGTTGAAGCGGCAGTGAGCACTAGTCAAGTTAATTCAAAAACTTTCGGTGGAGTGTGCCAATTCCCGATAGCGATTTTGCCGCAAATCCATGAAAAGAATGGCCCTTAGAGCCACTAAGCAATGAATGGTAGCAATACTAATGAGTGGCAACTGGAGCACCCCAGCCTCGCTACTTCCAGCTCAAAAATAAAATTATATAAACAGCCTTACCTCAATATCACGAAATTGACAAATTTTGTTATATGCATGTTCAGTACGAAAAATGAAACTAATGCGCAAATCAGACAGAAGGGGAACTAATGCTAGAGCTACAACAAAACACTTAGCAGTAAAAAGAAACTGCATTATTATTGCGACAGCAATTATATGGACACACTCAGCGGGTTTTTGCCGTCGTCGCAATGTTACATAAGGAGTCCAAATCATTAACATGCCCCCGCGCACCATAACTTTTATGAGCGGGCAAAAGCTTGCGAGCGCTGCTCAAGCAAAGATCAAATGAGCCGGCCCATCTCTATCGCCTGCAGGGCGCATACGATCCCCCCCCCGTGTTATAACTGTCGTCGAATGCTCAAACAAAAAGGAAACCACCAGTGTTGAATGAGCACGAAATAAATGCAGGGAGGTCATTCGAGTAGCGACAGTGAACTTTGATTTCAAGGGCGCAGTCGCGATCGTTGGCATGCACACTATATGGGCCTGCAGCAGTGCGCTTTCAACGCGAACAGACTGTGTGAAAGATGCACTTCACCCTGGAGCCGCCGTATTTGCTTACACCAGCGTTTTGTAGGAGTTCCTCGATATCAGAACCAAAGAGTTGGCTGCCTGCCTCACTTATATAACATTACAATTTATTGCTATCACATTCATTGCATTGCATTCAAAGCGCTGCAGTGTTGTTGCCAGAGTTAATTGGCTAATCGCGAAGGCTACTGTGCCACGAATTCGCAGCGAGCTGCAAGACAGAAGCTCCTGACACTTCGATCTCCGAAGATCGTTGTTACTATCGGCGAGAGTTACTATCGGCGCCTAAAATCTGACATCACCTCATGACTTGGCTGTCCGCATAAAAGAAAAAGAAAGAAAAAAAAGCAATGCTGAAAGTCATTGGGGGCCAAACCAGGCGCGCGCAGTGAAACTATGGATGTGCGCACGGCGTCGAAAAACGAAACTAGAACGACACGGATACCACATAAAACTGTTCGGTAAAGTGCCCTCCATATGCAGTGCGGCCCCACATGCGATGCTAACTAACAAATGTAGTTTAATTGTCTTTGTTTTTGGTTTTAAGGGATGGTAAGGGCACATACGCTCATGCCCCCGCGGCGGTAAGAACAGTGGCAATGCCGGCTTGCAGAGCGCAAATCGCCTGCCCACCTTGCGCACACCTGCACGCAATAATAGGCACTATTACGACCAGCGCCTGGGTCGTTGAGGGAGCGGTGTTCTTTCTTCGTCAAAGAAGTCGCCGAAGGGCTGCCGGCCTGATGTTGACCATGTATTGTCCCTACTAGCAGGAAAGCTAGGCAAATAGTTCCCCGAGATGACCACAATGGTTTTCCACGGACGCACGATCTTCCTTGGAAGAGACAGCAACAACAGTCGCAACTCGCCTTGCTAATTGAGCGAGAAGTTCGGCGGACCTTTTTGAGCTTTGTTGCGGCGGCCCTTTAGATGTATGCTGTCGTGAGCTTGGGACCCCTCATATAGCGGCACACACACGATGTGGAAGAGCCACGTTGGTGCCACATTGCAGTGCAGTGACCACGCCTCAATAGAAAGTTGTAGCTTACCATTAGCGTGATGGCGTTACCATGCAGCAATGCAGCAAACCGTTGCGGACAGCGACTTATAGGTTAGCGAATAGTGTTTACGTGGTTTCTGTGCCCCAGCTGGGACGGTGGCGCCACCTATCAGATGGTTAATAAGTTGAACAGTGAAAGGTAAAAGAAAACAATAATGTTTGCCTGTGCCACTGTGCGAAGCATTTTTAAAAGTTTATTTTAGTATTAATAAAAGTAAATAAATATGAATCACGCACCAAACGTGAAAACATTCATGTTGCCGATTTGTTTACATCAAACATCTAATTAGGCCTAGAGACGTTCGAAATTGGAAGCTATCTCAGAAATTATGCCAATTTATCCGTAATACTCTGTCATTGAAGCTAACTGAAGGCAAGCAACGCCACTTTAAACAGTGGTTTGCTGCGAACAAAGTGAACAACTATGCCAAACTCACTTCGTAGCGGGCGTCCGAGAGTGCCACCATGTTTTACGTACACTACGTACGCTTATGCCAACATGGTCACGTTAAATCTGAAAAATAGCATGCGTACGGTAAGCGGTACGGGTAACGTACGCAACTGCGCATGCGGACTTCTCGCTATCACGATACGTCCGGTATCCCGCAAGCCCTGTATACTACAACTGGCTAATACTACGTTTACCTAGACGGGTGTGGGCGTCACCCTCTCAAGTTGTGTGTGACACGTGATTTGACAGTGCAATCTGCACGCGTTCCCCGATCTAGGAATCTGGGAAGAACGTACCCTTTATATAATGAGCCACCCGGCACATTCGAAGAGCTCACCATGTACATAATACAAATAAACCCCTGTTAAGTTCACCTTCCTCCCACCTTGGCATCTTCATCCCGGATCTCCGGTGCCTGCAATGGCTGGTCGCAACAGCACTTTCTTTCACGTGGAAGTTGCCGAAAAGCGCGCAGCGCCGCTTCGCGCTTTGCCAGGGCAACTGTGGAAGATGCATGCTCGTACCGAAACGACAAAATCCGGGGCGAAATTCCTGGTTGTGCGTGGTGAAAATTCATTATATCAAGGATGTCTCTCGCTGTTAGTTTGTTAGAGGTCACAAATAAATGAGGTTCTATGAGGTAATGACAGGAAATAGAAAAACATTAAAGGAATTCTTTATATAAAGGTTAGTTATAACCAGGTTTAACTACATATACAGTTGAGCCCGCTTATAACGAACCTGAGCGTGACGCGGCATCCATTCGCTGTGTCCCGAAGTTCGTAGTCAATGAAACACGGCTTTTAAAAGTTGAGAGTGAAAACACAAACTTTTTATGCCCCAAAAAGTCTGTGATGCACGCGCTTCGAATAGCAGAAGCGATAAGGGCGGTCTCGAGTTCATTTAAAATGGCAGGGTGCTCGTTCGTTAAGGCCCGTGGCATAAGCTACATGAGGCACTGACTCCAAAGTTTCGTTGTTCTCGCAATCCGATTCCTCCAAATCACTCTTGCCACGTACTCCATTCACAATGCCTTAATCCATGCACGGTTCCGCAGTGTCGGTATCATCCTCGGCCGTTATTAAACCATCGCAACAGATGTCCCACCCGCTCTCCAGGTCGGAGTCGACGCGCTGCCGCAAATCGCCGCATCAGTGGTCCTGTTCGGAAGCTTCAGGCTCGGCATCGGGCCCGACGTCGACCTCGCGAAAACAGTTTCGCGCGCATGCAGCCGTCACCGCCGCCCACGAAATATTTACCATCCCCACAGCTGAATATTGGGATGCCCGAAGCGGCAAGTTGGCTGCCAGGTGGTCAACAGCTATGAGCAAGCGCTCCGCAACACGGCACCTAACGCGCGAATTACGCTCAAGCCAAGCGGTCACACTTTCGACGTTTTGTTGAGCGGCAGGAAAAAGAAAAAGAGCGTGCTAGTCCTCCCCTCGGCCATCATGACCACACACGCACACCAAGAGCGAGCAAGACGCGCACACGCGACACACATGCCAGAACACGTGGAACAGCTCTGGGCCCGTTTCCAGTCAGAAAACTAAAATAATTCGAGCCAGCGTGGCGGGCGTCGCAGAGCGGTAGAGACGGGCGAAGAGGTCGTGATCAAGAGAGGTGAGCAGACTTGCAAGAGAAGGGCAAGGAGTTGGGATAAAGAGAGGGGAGGATGCGGAGGGAGGGCGACCTTGAAAACCAAAACACACGGGAAGGAGGCAGGTTGGGTAGCTTGCTTGAAAGGTCCGCGAAACTCGCATGTAGAAAAACTTGGAAAGAGTGCATGGCCACCTGAATCAGTGCACGCGGCGGTGTTCAGAGAATCGGTGGCCGTAGTAAAAAAATCGCTTTGTTGCGCCGGCGGGATTGCGTGGCCTCACGAACTTCGATCTTTCGCGATTCGTTATGCGCAAATTAACAGCCGTTTTCGCGCTTCCACACGTGCACGGAAGGCATGCTGAGCCGAGTGCGAAGTGAGCAAGAACAAGTCCTAAACACGAAAAGAATCGCAAATGATCAGAGCCGGTGGGGTAGCGTACGCGCGTGCACTAGACGCTGACTATCGGATACAGTCCGTGGCCGATGATGTTAGCAAATGTTCTGGTCACTCCAGGCCGGCAACGTCAACGACAGTACCAGTAATCAAAAACGGGGTTGCTGGCTGACCGGTCTTCGAAAGATCGGTGGCAGTGTGAAAACACGGGCCTCGTCTGGCGATACGGAATACTCAGAGTAGCGGGGGGGGGGGCAGAGGACGGCGGGGTGCGTGACAAAAGTGGTCGGGGAGAGCGGCAACAAGAAAGCGCGGAGGCAGGGTCGGCGTTTAACAATAATAATGTACGGGCACCTCGCCGATGCCTGATCCGTGGTCGAAATTGGTTTCCGGGGAAGCTTGCAGACCGCTGGCTCCGTTCGCTGTAAGTGCGATTTTGTACCATTGAACCAATGTATATTTTCACGGTCACGCGGATATTGTTAGTTTTAAGCGAAAGTTCGTTTTAGGAGGGGACGTTATATGTGGGCTCGACAGTATATATATATATATATATATATATATATATATATATATATATATATATATATATATATATATATATATATATATATATATACACACACACACACACACACACACACACACACACACACACACCGTCCCGTGTTTAACTGAAATGATGTGCCTACGAAAAACAAGACAGTGTTTCACTGCAACACAGTGGCGACGTGCGAGCAGCATGGCATATCGTTCTAGCAACGTCAGCGCGTTATGATTTACCCATTCTTTCTGAGAATATAAAGAATTATAAAGGACAATCAGGCAGAATCCGCGATGTATGGGAAAATGCAAGTTCCAGTTGCTCTAGTGATTTGGGCACTTGCACTGCTGGCAAAGTTCTTGCCTGCAACGTCCACTTCGAAAACTCTTGTTAGAAAGCTTCAGTGATTATGTTTTTCAGTCGAAACACATGGCGAATTTCGTCATACTGCCCATTATTAAATTCTTTATTTTACCAGAAAGGGTGGGCGAATGATCGCACCATGACGCACTAACGCAGCCAGGAGCAAAGGACGTGGTGCCCGCGTGTCACCACTGTGTTGCAGTGAAGATGTCTTGCCTTTTGCAAAAGCGCATCTTAGTTGAATGGAACGCAATGAAAAAACTTCATTTCAGTTCTGCAGGACGTGCTTAGCGCGTAGCGGGCGTCTCCCACGTAGGGACCAACAGGGAGTACCTGGCGACTGCTTCTTGGGCCTGCTGGACGGCCCATTGCTGGTGGGCGAGAAGTGAGCTGCTGAGCGCTTACGTTAACGATAGCTGCATTGCATCAAGGTACACCTTGATGCAATGCAGCTATAGTTAACGTAAGCGCAGGGACCTTTCCCACTAGTTTGAGGTAGAGCCGGGAGGAGTTTTTCTACACTCCCAGAGCATGTGTGCGAGTGTCGTCCTGTGTCCACACGAGGGGCATGCGTCGCTGGGGTATGCATCAGGAGAATAAACGTGATCACTTTTTTTTTTTCTAGTGGCAGCAGCGAGGCCCGCCGTTCCCCCTTTTTCGTGGCAAAATCATGACCAAGTATTCCTGGAAAACGTAGTTCTTGGAGCCACAAACTAGGCGGCACTGGAAAAGACCAGCCCTGGTTACTTCAAAACTCTTCTGGTTCATTGCATCCCACTTAAAAAAAGTATGTCCCGTTAATTCGAAAACCATCTCAATCCACAGATTTCTCACAGTCCCAGTGACTTTGAATTAACGAGGTTTTACTGCTACTGCAAATATTTAATGTTTCACTAAATTTTAATTGAAGGCAGCTTAACAAATAACGATTGCTGGGGTTTAAACCCGCCTCCACTCGTGCAAAGTTTAGGATATTCTGGATTTCGGGTAACAGATTCATTTTGAGAGATTATGGCAGTCCAGTGTAACAAAAGTAGCTTGTATTGCAGGCTCTTGACCCTTTTTCTCAGTGACAGTCGAGCCATGAACAAGTCACGAAGTAGCCCTGTTCTCGACAAGCCGATTACAGACTCTGTCCCTGTAATAACACTTGCCACACATGCCCAAAACAAGCTCATGCAGCACCAACCTGGGTCCAGGCTGACAACGAAGCACGTCTGTTTCCTGAAGTGGGAACAGATCCCATCAGTCTTCTGCATCTGCAATGTTTTCTGCCTCCCCGGCGCCATCACCAGCTGTTAAAAGTGCCTTCTCTGCTTTCTTCTTCTTTTTCTTAGCTGACCTTGCTATCACTGAGCGGTTGAGCAATGCCTGCAACAGCGAGTACATAAAAATTAGAGCTAATGGCATTAGTATTCAAAATAAGTACCCACGCAAACAGCTTCAAATTGCAAAACTGTCAGCACTTTTTCCCAACACCTTATTATAATTATTTTTTTGCAACAAGCAAGCACTGGTAGCATGTTTGGATAGGTAGGTCTAGATTACCGATGTCAAAGAGTACAATTACACAGATGCTACATCTGCTAGCTAGCTGTTTAGCCGAGTTCAAGTACAACCAAATATGAAGTCTAGGGTACTACGGAAGCCCGCCTGGTTGTAAAAATTCATGGCAGGAAATAGTAGTACCAACCAACCCTTGAAATAAAAACAGAAATGACGGTTCAGCCCCACTGCGGAGGCCTTTTACAACCAAGCATGAAAACACACACACACACACACACACACACACACACACACACACACACACACACACACACACACACACACACACACACACACAAAGGAATCCACAGTTAGCTTAGCTAATAATATAGGAATGTAATAAAGAAATACTCACAATGACACTATAAGCATGAAAAACACTGGTTTCATTAGTTTGCATTGTACTTATCGACCAAGACTAGCATGCTAGTGTGTTTATAGTTTTTTTTTTTCTAGGGGAGGGGGGAATGAGAGAAAAGGGCTTTGTAGTGCCCTGGGATATTCACCAAGGGTTGGCCACAAGAAATTTCAGCTTCCTTTTCTTTGGGACTTATTGAGACTCTTCCCCAGACACACATTTGAACCACTGCAGTTGGCCCCAAAATGCTCCAGATGGAATAAACAAAGCTTCATTAAACTTTGCAGTTCTAGTTTTAGTGTAGTCAACATGCCCTAAAAGATGCCCTCTTCATGAACCGGCGATTTCCTATGGCATGCACCACAGGCTCTGCAGATGGCCATCTCTTCACGATTTCGGCTAAGATTTCATTGAGAAATGTTTGTTGCTTGACCTACTCTGCTCTCTTCTTGTCCCTCCAGACAAGAAGAGAGCAGCGTGTCTTGTGAGGGTGTTTGTGACACTAGTAGGTTTCGTAACATAGCGCTAACACTTACACTGAGTGCCTCGTCTTCCACCTTGAACTCCGATTCGAAAAGCTCAAGGTCCAGCTGGCCACCTGTGATGCGGTGGGAGCCAGACGGCATCAGCAGCACCGTGTACTTGAACTGGGCCACGAATTCACCTGCATACCGACAAAGGATGCTAACCCTCAGCTCGCAACATGTACCAAAGTACCGTAAGACGTCCACAACTGAAAGACTGATTACAGTGCACTCCACTTTAGCCTATATCCAAGTGCCAATGAAATCTCATAGTTATTACTGATGATTGTCCCAAGTGAGTTGGGAAAAAAACGAGACAGAAGAAAGGTAAGAACATTTTATTTGCATGCAACTAAGATGGTGCAAATAAGTATTTGTCAGTACAAAAGCCATAGTCAGCTTTGAATGCTGCACGCGAAGCTTGCGCACATCTTTCACAAAAGCAGCAAGGTGCTGCACGCAGCTGAGCGGGAAGGCCTTCGCAACAATAAAGTCACTGTGTCATCCACTGGGCCTCCTCTTATTAGTAGGCTGCTCAACCTCGTCATCAAAGCCAGCACTCTCTAACTGCTGCTCTCAACTCCTATACGCGCAATGGTCACCTCGCCACTGAGGCACTCTGACATTTGATTGATTAATATGTGGAATGTAACATCCCAAAACAACCATATGGTTATCAGAGACCATATGATTATGAGAAAATTTCAACAACCTGGGGTTCTTTATTGTGCACCCAAACCTGAGCATACGAGCCTACAGCGTTCCCACCTCCTTGAAAATGAAGCCGCAGCAGCCGGGATTCGATCCTGCGACATGTGGATCAGCAGCTGAGTACCTTAGCCACTAGACCACCGCCGTGGGGCCACTCTGACATTTCCACAAGATCGCCTGCATGAATTAAGTGGCCCAGACACGACACATCTTCGTTTAGCACCGACCATAACTCGGGCAGCTCTTTGTCGACAGGCGCTTCGCAGGCTTCTCCCGACAGCTGGGAAAGCTTTTCTATGTACATTTCAGCCCGTGTCATTTGATTGGTAAGGTCATGTTGTGCAATATGTATATACAGTGAAAAAATTCTATCATATCCGGCCAACTGGCAATTTTGAGGTGGCTGATACTCTTGCAAGACAAAATTTCAAGTGGTTGTTACTAATTGCTAACACGAGCAACTCACTTTGTAAATGCATTTTGGTTTTAATTAAATACCGTAATTACTAAAATCTAACGTGCAGCTTTTTTACGGTTAAGCGAGTTCATAACTCACATGCGCGTTAGAATCGAGTACGAACAAAAAAAATTACGGTCAATCTATTGCCATCGGCAAATCCCAAAATGCCGCCCCCTACATGCGTCGGCATGGCGCGGCCATTTCCTATGTGTTTCCCATGTGCGGCACTTCGTACGTGTGCTGAGGAGTTCGTCATTTAGTAGTGCATTAGCATCGACGGCGTGGAAGGGCCGAATCCAAAAACTCTAGTGCACCACGATGCCGCTTTTAAAAGAAAAGTCATCGCGTGTGCAGAAACGGACGGAAATCGGGCCGCATCTTGGTCGTTCGGAGTTCCTGAAACGTGCGTGCGGGACCGACGGAAACAAAAGCAGAAGACTGTCGACAGCAAAGCTTCACGCAAAGGCTTCAGTGGACCACAGCAGGGTCGGTATCCCAAATTAAAGAGCTGCTCGGCGAGTATGTGCTGGAGCAGCGAGCGGCCCGTGACGACAGAACTGCCCCAAGTGCGGGCTATGCAATTAGTCTCAGAAAAAGGTCTAATTCGGAGCCAGTTTATAGCGAGCAGGTGCTGGCTAACTAACTTTATGAAGAGGAAAGGCTTTTCCCTCCGAAGGGGAACATGCATATGCGAAACGTTTTGCGGAGGAGTACGATGAAAAGCTTCACATTTTTCAGAGGTTCGTCCTAAACTTGCCGCGCAACAACGGCTACCTGCTTCGGCAAATCGGGAATGCCGATCAGACGCCTCTTTACTTCGACATGCCTGGCCCCACAACCGTCGAGAAGAAGGGGGCGAAGCAAGTTCGCGTGCTGACATCGGTCCACGGTAAAACTACAGTGACGGCAATGCTCTGTTACACGTCAGATGGGCACAAGCTTCGCCCGTACCTCATATTTAAATGGAAGACGCTCCCGAAAGGAGTCGTTTTTTCGAGTGGTGTGATCGTGCGGGCCAGCGAGAAAAATGGGTGCGCGTTACAATCGAGGGCGCGGTAGAATCGAGTAAATACGGTATACCCTGCATAACAAACGCACCCCCAACTTTGCTCCGATTTTTCGAGAAAAAAAGTGCATTCAGTACGCGAGAAAAACACGGTACACGTGCATCCTGTGCATACTGACTCAAACCAATGCTGCTGGCTGTAATACTGTAGGCGATGCGATCACAGATAGCAACAACACAGTGCTGAATGTAAGTGTATAGCGAGCGCACACAGATTGATAATAGAACTACCATTTGCCACAACCGCTGCGTAGGAAACCACAAGCCGCTATCATCACAGTTCGTCGATGATGAATGCGCTCCGAAGGCGGACCGCTAACAGCAGTTGAAAATTAATGGCAAGAAAACTGTACGGCATGAAGCATTACAGGCTTTCCTGTCGTGCACTTATTGCTATAGGTAGCGCAGAGCTTCAGCACTTTCGTTGTCCTAACGAAGCTTTGGCACGCTCATTCGCAGCAGCTGCGCACTCAGGACGCTTCGAGGGTTGTCTGAATATTGTATTTTCTCGTGTAGAACCTGCCCCTGCATACAACCAGCAGCCCCGACTGCAAACCACGCAAGAAAGAAAAAAAAAAAATTCCCGTTCCCGTATGTTATCGCAAGGCCACCTTTCTTGCATTAGCATTTAAGGACACCCTCCGACGCTTCTTCGCCTGCATTCTGCACCGCTGTAGTTCGTGTAGGGCCAAATAATGAGATGAATGAAAAAGAATGGTCAAAATCGATACACGATAACGGCCTTCAAACTTCGAAGTTCCGAGAGACGATAAGAAAAAAAAATTCTCTTTCGCCTTTCACTCCACTGACATTAAAGGCTATTTCCAATCACCACGCGCAGCTCACAGAGACTAACTGGGCAACTCACCTCGTGGTGGTCACTCTGCAAAGGTCCTCGCATTATTTTATAACTGTTTGTACACTTTAATATTTAAAAAAAATCCTTTTGTATCCGAGAAAGTAGAGAGAGTGCTTTTATAACTTTTAATGAACAATAGTGTAGCTATCTGGGACCATATAAATATTACGCAGCAACTTGTAGCGTCGAACCAATTAAAACGCACGGCCTGTCGTCACTCCCACAAGTGAAGCATCACCTCCAATCACAAAAATGTCTGTCGTGTGTTGCGCTAATCCGAAAATGGTGCGAGTTTTCGGTAGAAATAATAACAGCCTTGCTTTTGGTGTCCTCGCTTCTGCAATGATGTTGGTGTATTCCACAATTCGAGCAGAAGCAATGAAAACAACACGCTTAATGTGTGTTGCACGGACCCTTTAAAGGAGCACTGTCACAAAATCTCATAGACGAGATAGTGAGTGATAGATTTATGTGCAGACATGCAAAATATCTACAATATAGCAAGGGCAAATATAGCCTAGAAAGAACATATATAAAATAAATTTTACAGTGCATGCCGCTCAACTGAGCAAAATGCAGAGGCCCTTGTGATGTCGACACAAACGCAGTGGCATTGTAAGCAAACCTTCGTCAAGAATTTGTGTTGGCTGGTTTCAGGCACGTGCCTTGCGCTACCCAAGATTTATTTCTCTGTGCCTGTGGCCTTGCCTGAATTTGCCGTGAGCACAGTACCCGCTCATGCACACTGCGCCCACATCAGAGCTTTGCGTGGTCACATGGCCAGCTCTACACCTTGACGCCAGAACTACTCCTGCCTAGCTTGGTGCTCTTTGAAACCTAAACTGCGATTGCGCACACTTCTGCAAACGAAGTTTCCAGCTGTGATAAGTGCGTCATAAGCTACCTACCGCAAAAAACAAAAAAAAAGGGGGACCCTTAAGCTTTGTTTTATTTGAACGCGATAGCGTTATTCTGTTGCCAGTGCGTACTTCAAACATTTAGTGTATTAAATATTTCCGAACTTGCTATGCACCTACCACATGGCATGTGTGCCCTTTGCAGGGCTGTAAACTATGAAGTCGTTATGAAAATCACATGTTCTGATGCCCGATGGCAATGTACGCATTATTAGGCAATATTTCGTGTTGTATAGGGAAGTTTTTTTTCCCATTCAGCGCGAAAAAAAAAAAAAAAAAAGAATGCAAGGAGAAACACAGTACTCACCCTCCTTTTCGTACAGAACTTGGAATGGGTCAAGTAGCTTGTGGTTGACACACTCGACAACTCCCATTTTCGCCTTAACCTCCTCGTCGAACGCCCTGTTTCGGGACAGATGGCCAGTTAGACATTTTCTCAACCTAAGCTCCTACGCGTTAAACCAAAGATAAGGACACAACCCAAGGTGAAGAAAATAAAATAGCACTCTTTCCCGTCTTAATTTCTTCAGCTTGGGTTGTGCCCCTACCTTTTGTTCAGCCTGAACCAACTAGCCCAACAACATGTTACATTAAGCTCCTCACTGTGAACACAAAAGATCAAGCGGTACCAGATATGCTCATACTGGACAAACCATTGTTCTTTGTCAATACAGAAAAAACGAATGAAATGGCACCCTTAAGCCTAACACTGCAATGCTTTACTTGCCATGCTACCACAACGATAAGAAAAGAAGTTGAATCAGCAACATGCTTCTGAAATGAAAACTTGTACCTTTGCAGGAACAATAAAGATAAATATGAAGCTGACACACGTTGCCAAAATACTGCTCTAAAAACCTCTCAGGGCTGATTTTGGGCCAAGAAAATCCTCAAGTTTGAAAAGAAATCGCATTTCAGGGGTTCGCATACCGCTTCTGCAGTTCAAGCAACACCCCTCTGAAAGGACTTGTGACATAGCATCTGCTCTTTACCGCCCCACAGATGATACTATGGCTTCTCGCACAAACCAAGTCAAGTTATTTTTTTCTACAGATCAAACGGGAATTCACAAGCTGCATTTTAGTCCATCTTGCAACACACTGCAATGTGCTTTTTTATATTGGCTAGTCAGGCTACTAGTGATAAGTAGTTTTACTGAGGGCTTACTATATCATCGAGTTATCCCCAAAATTTCACACTGATCGTGCAAATTATGTGCTGCCCTTCATTTCTTGAATACAAAAGCGCCACTGTGCATAATAACAATTTAGACGTTCTCAAACAGTGACCTTTCACTGTATCATAAATAGTTTGCCTTTACCGTCCCTTCGGGTGTAGATGCAAAGTTTGCAGTTTGGACTGATTAGCCCATCAGAGAACTTCTAAACTTGTGGCAGATTTTAGCAAATCCTTCGCTCCACCAAAGTGCATGCAGAGTCACGCAATACGAGTTGTGACATTGCACACTACTTGCCCAAGAGAGAATCTGGAGCAGCACACAAAAAGACCAATTCTGGAGGAGTAGCTGGGCTAATCATAGATAAAAAAAGTTGGAACTTCCAAGTTACATAACGAATTATCAGATACATGATCAGCGGACCCTATTGAGCATGCAGAAGAGGCTGAAGCTCACCTTAGCGTGAATGGCATAGAAGCATACTGCTTGTCTACGATGCTAAGGAAGGCTGTAAAAAAAATTTAAAGAAAAACAATGTAGCAGTATAAAAAACATGTCTCCCAGCATCAAAAGAAATTTCGATGCGAATCATAAGAACAAAAAAAAAAAAGTGCTTGAAATAATGTAAAGTATAAATCGTTGAATAACTTAGGAGTGACAAGTTATTCGATTAACTACACTCTTTATAAGGGAAAATCAATGTTAAAGGGGTATACTACAAGTCAAAACAGCTGTTCTTGTGTGCCCTCATCGAAATCACAAGCCGCCTTGGCTAAGAATAGAATTCATGTCCCTACGCTTAGAATATACTTAACCCTTTCAGCCCTGGATATTTTATTTTGGTCAGATACACTTTTTGTGTGTGTTTTTTTAGTAGTTAGGACCTTAGAAGACCACAAACAAAAAATTGAGCCAGTGGTACAAGCATTTTTTGATTAATTAACATGGCATCAAATTAGGTAATTAGCGCCCTGTGATTGGAAAATGAAAAAAGTGGCTTATTTTTTTTCTGCTAATCAATGGTGCACGCAAAATGAAAACCAATGTCTTACTTTTCAGCCTAATACTCACTGAAACAGCTTTGGTACGCCGTCCTGAAAATGGCCCTTGCCCGCCTCAACTTACGCGCCTCGGCTTCACGGAAGACCTCGGTCACGCTTCTTCTTTGTGGCTGCTACCTCCACAAACGTGCCGCAATATTGGTGTCAATTGTAGTGGGGATCATTGAAGAACTATGTTCCCAAGAATGAGCAGTATTGGTGTTTTTTTTAGTAGTTAGGACCTTAGAAGACCACAAACAAAAAATTGAGCCACTGGTACAAGCATTTTTTGATTAATTAACACGGCATCAAATTAGGTAATTAGGGCCCTGTGATTGGAAAATGAAAAAAGTGGCTTATTTTTTTTCTGCCAATCAATAGTGCACACAAAATGAAAACCAACGTCTTACTTTTCAGCCTAATACTCACTGAAACAGCTTCGGTACGTCGTCCCGAAAATGGCGCTTACCCGCCTCAACTTACTGGGGATCATTACTGGGGAACTTAGTGGGGATCATTGAAGAACTATGCCCCCAAGAATGAGCAGTATTGGTTACGTTTCCGAGATACTAGGGCAAAATTTGTGCGGTGGTGTCAATTGACACCGCCAGGGCCGAAAGGGTTAAGTATAAAATCCCAAATACACACCCCTGTACTCCCTTATTTTAGAGGGATTTGAAATATGTGTCAATCATCGAACAAGCGAGCCCCCCTCCCCCCCTTCAACCTGTTCTTCACTACAGAATATTGCAGCAGCGATTAGTTAAGTCTTCATATATGTGCATGATTTCTTAGTACAGTGTGGTGCCTCAGTGTTGCAGTTTGAAGAGTCGCAAATAGTCGAAACATTTGAAAAACACCATTGCCTCACACTCACCACCACCACTCCTTCGTCATAAGACATCATATTTCACACAAGGATTTCCTTATATTCAGTAAAGAAAGAGTAAATGCATGCACTTCAGTAGACTAAGACAGCCCCCCCTAAATCTTGAACGATTATCTTCTCAGAGGAAGGAGGGCTTGCCCGAGACTTAACGGCATAACACTGTCATCATGCTGATGCGTCGGAATGTGCAAGGAAAGAAAGCAGGTAGACTGTTCACTTCCTGTTACCAAGCTATAATTGAAAGCATAGCTTTGAAACAATGTCATATCAATCTAGAGCCATTTGGCACTGTTCACAAGACAGCTTCAACTTCATACATAAAACGAATAGTTGCGAACGCACCACGAGATGCCTTGCTTCGCAACAAGTAGGTCTCATCGGTGCGCTTGTACACAGTCGTTCGGGTGTCCATCTCGCGTCCCTAAGGAAAAATCCAGAAGGTCCGTCAAATGTAGGACATGGCAAAATAAAGGCACGGACAAAGGAAGGAAGAAGAGTCTTTAACACACCTTTCCCTCCCCCGTGCTCACAAGGACGTCGATCGCGTAAACTTCATGCAGTTCGAACTCGCACTTTTCGTGTTCTTTCCTGTAAGAGAACATCAAGAGCATTCCTAAAGCAATTGCAATACTAACAATAGTGCAAAAGGACCAGTTTGAACATTCTGACAGCAGCACAAAATTTCAATATACCCCAAGCGTTCAGTAAAAATATGCATTGCTCTTCATGTGATCACACTTAACCTGTCTATAGGGGAAAAAGAATTGTTGGCAACAAATGGCTTCTGAAATTATTTCTTTAATAATTAAAACGTAGCATATTCTTCATGCTCACCAAGACAGGACTACTGATACGATTTAATTGTACTGCAGTCTTCAGTATATGATACATATTTACACGACATAGCATATTTGTTCACAGCACATTCATTTAGCAAAAGTGTTTACCTCGATTATGATTTTGTCAAACCTCGCTCATTTGAACTTACACTACTCAAATCGGATAATTCAAACAGTTATGAGCAAAGTGGCATGTATTTAACTGGGGATAAACCAGAACGAAAAAAAAAAAGAAGCGCCATTGTAACTGCAAACAAAACATGCTCGTATCTCCACAGAATACTTTTCATCCCAAGGCAAAACTAAAAGTCTGATGCTCCACTAGCCACTGCAGCTTTTCAAACACTGTAACCATTAGCTTGCTCCCCGTACACTCGAAATTGTCTTCGTTTAATGAAGCAGCTGGGCAAAACGATGTCTTTTTCCCATGCCGCCCTTGTGATGTCGTTTCGAGCGCTTGCAGGGGCAGTCCTTTCTTTCACCCATGGCTGAATATGGCCCGTCCTCATAAACCTGGGACTACTGCCCGTTGCATGCGTCAGGACACTCAGCCACTGCCTTATCGACAGTACCGTGGACATGAGTGGCATCAGCCGTGGAGATGTAAATCACTGCATGCCATTCCATTGCCGCCAATGGTTGCAGGTGTGAAAGAACTCTGCACACGCAGCACACTTGCACAAAAACAACGCAAAGAAAAAACAATGAGAAAAACACTGCTGGAGGCATGCACGAAAATGTGACAACCTAAGTCAATCTCAGGGGCCTTACTTTTGTTAACAAAGCGGTGTCACGTGTTCCTTGTTTAACAGTTATACAGCTCTCGCCGATTGAAGACTTTGGCAGGCAGGAATTGAAAATGAGTGATGTACGCACCAGATTACACAGCTAATCCCACAGTCAAGCCAGGCCAAGCTGCATAAGTGAACAAGGCCGCTCTCCGCGGCAAGTTAGGCTAGCTCGGAGTTAATCGCACAAGAACGACCCCCAGAGCTGTGATTAAACAGCAGGGTTTCCAATACATTGTATTCTATGGAAGTTATACAAAACCAGGCAAGGTCAAAAACGAGCGAGAAGCTCGAAAAGCGTAACACACGGGAACATAAAGGATGCTATGTTGAGGGGTTCCATTGTACTGTGTGCTGCACCACTAGTTCGAACTCCGGTTAGTTCGGACAGATTTTCTATCTCCTCAGAATTAGAATTGACGGGGTTTTGGCAATCCTTAGAACAGCATGTTACAGCATTGCCATATGAATCAAAGAATGCGGAACACCTTGGAGGACAGCCTGTCGTTCCATATTATACTTCTTTGCGCCTGAAAAGTACTGAAAAGCTCAAATGAAATGTTAAGGGTTGTTCACCTTTGGGCTTCCGTTGGGTTCTGGATGATTGATTTTTCCCCGTCTATCCTGTATTGCTTCAACTGGTGCGATAGCATACCTGCACCAAAGGCAGCAAAGGGTCAAGATGACTGCCCAATGCAGTAGCATGCTATATACAAAGAATTCACATGGTCTGTGCATAATATCAAGAGTAAAATTTCATGGGTGTTAAAACGAAATCAATATTATGGCAAAATGTGACTCGATTAGCTGATATTTTTTCGAGCTGAAACACTTTACAGTCAATACCAGATAAATCGAACCTAAAGGGGATGCCAAAATAATTTATGTGTATTGATAATTTGAAAGACATGTGCATTTAAGGCTTTAGTTAAAGCATGTTAGGCCTTGAAACAGTTTATGGAAATTGTAAAATATGCTAACATGATGATTCACTTAAAGCACACAAAAGAACAAAATGTGAACTTCTTTTGCTAGTTACTACTCTTTATTTCGCACGAATTAGTTTACAAACTTGTCTTGCTTCTTGCTCGCCGCTAGATTGCAGTCTTCTTCAACATCACTGAAGTTTTCAAATAGAATAGTCCAACTTCGGCCACAACAGCATTGATTGATGCTGAATGCCGATGCAACCTCTGTATTCGGGTTATTGGCTGGTTAGCGGTGGCAGCGAGAGAGCTAGCACCTTCATAACCACATGATTACACTTTCTGAGGCACTGGCAATGGCGACCAAGATCTTGACATCGATGTAGTCAGGGAAAGCTACACTGTCATCTGCACTTATGAAGTCGCTCACTATTCGAGATGGCCACGGAAACACTGATAAGTCGTCACAGAATTCACTGAGGAACTATACGCTGTCAGCAATCATTAGGCTCCCAAGTTCATCATCTGGCACAAAACCCACAAGGAAATAGTTTACGACAGTGCTCGCTTGACATCGCTCCAAGCACCAGTCATAATTTGTTTATCGCTGCATGCGGGTCAATGTTTAGTTTTACTCCTGAATGAGGATTTATCGGAAATGAGGTGAGAAGCACCCAGGTCGCAAAAGACAACGTTCCCACAAGCAAAAAAAAAAAAAAAGGAATGAGTCGCCACCATGAACATGTTGGCAGTAGTGACGTCACTTGTTGTTTTGTAGCAGGCCGCTTCCTACGGAAAAGCTAGAAAAAGCCTAGCTTTCGAGATATGCGTTGTAGAAAAAAAAAAAAAAAAAAAACACCGTACATACATCCCTGGTTGCGCACCTCGAAGGCCATCCTTTTCAGGACCACATGCCATAGTGTGCAAACAAACAAGGGAATGAAAAAATGCAACGAGGTCTGTGAAGGCACTTCCCATTCTCATTTTTGGTGCCCTTGGCAAATCCATCTTTTTGAAGAGCACTATGTCCACGCGTTAAAACCTGCAGATCGTGCATCAAACATACTGGTGCACTCGCAAGCGCTGCGTAACCAACCAAATCAACGTTATGGAATAACACTGCATTTTTGTCACCAGCGCATGAAGAGTGCTTGGAACTTGTTAGAATACGGCTGAAAAATTATGAACATGTGGTAGAAGAAATGGACTTTCTGGGCTTTAATGAGGCACAGCATTCCACATAGTGGATATTCTGCTGTGCGGAAGTTCAATATGCGTGTGCAACATTATCATACTTTTGCATGAAAAGTTCAAGGGTCTTTCTCAACTGTTCAATACAGCCAATACTTTGATATATCAGATTTATCTGGGATCGACTGCATAAGCATATCCACTTATATTTTTTTTCAAACCTACTGTCAATTACCAGTGGCTATCTCCTCCAACATTTGATGCAAAATCTACTTGCATAATCTCAAATGCTTGTCATAAGTGCACTGAACAATTATGTTGTATAGGTACGTAACAAGGTCATTTAAGCAAACAAAAGGATATCGATGTGCGGACCCATACAGGCAGACACAATCCAGGGTGCATTACAGTGTTGTACGCTGCACTGACTATACAACTTAATTTTTTCCCAAATAATTTTCAGAACCTCTAATTGATTATTCTTGCTTACCGCATTTATCCAACGTTTTCAAGGAAATATTTAAGGCCTGAATGAGCATGCTCATGCAAACAGCAGATCCATTAGACCGTCGTTGCTCACCTTCCACCGGTTTACACTTGTAGGACTCCGCCACCTTCTGAATCACGTCTGTCACCGCATTGTTCTAACATCATAGCAAAGAAAAGAACATTGTGTTATCAAGTAAAGTAGTCACAGGCTCACAAGCACAGTATACACAATGATTTTGTTTTTCACTTTTATAACGTAGTTGTGCTGAGCAAAGAGACAGTTGGGTCTTTAAGACACACCAGAGTGCCCGACATCAAAATAGGGGATGATCAGAAAACCGAAACGTGGTAGTCTGCTTAAAAGGGACACCTCGTATAAGGTTCAAGAGCTACTCCCAAATGCATCTCTTGTGAAGGGGTACAGCTGTAAACGCAGTTTTTCGTGCTCATGTGGCATGGATATTATTCAGCTACGTGGAAGCTGACAGCACGTACAGAGCATACATACCTCACCACCGGGCTTGACAAGCCGCAGAGCAGCCTCAGCTGCGTAGTAAGCGGCCTTGACCACATCAGCCTTCCTGCCTTTCACCTTGTTATCCTGTCAAAACAATGCGGTAGTCAAGCAGCAGGACAAAGGAAATAAACTACAAGTAATGCAGAAGTTGATGTGTCTCATGATATGTCAAAGTCACTGCAGCAAGCACTTGCCATGTTTTTAAGTGAACACATTTCAGAGACAAGAACAGCAAAGTGAAGACAATGTTACTGGTCCCTGAAACTATAAGCCTAAATTGGGTAAGCATGCTTAGGCAACAACTAGAGTAAATTATTTGCACCATTGTGACGGGCCGTTGTGGCCGTCGGATATGTTGGGTTCCGGGGCGGCCTAAGAAGGACGTCCACAACTTTTCAAGATCAGGAGGGGACTGCCAGACCATTTTTTAATTTCACGTTCCTCGACCGCCCGCGAGCTCGGCGCCGATCTACTTCGTTTTCCTCGCGCAAAGGCGCGAGACACGTACCGAGTGTCGTCTGCTATCGCTCGTCACAATCATAATTTGAGAGAAGCATCTCATATTGCAGATGCCTTGGGCACTTCAAACATTGTGCCACACTAAAATCATGCCTTTTCTCACCTACATCCCAAACTGGTTAGGACTGAGATCAAACACCGAGCTGCCACAGATCGGAGGCAACGGTGCATGTTTGCCTAGCAGGTCTGTGCCACTAGGAGCCTCCTCAAAGCAGGTTGCTCGCACCTTATCCTTGGATAAAAATGCTAAGAGGGCAATCAGATTAGTTGCATGAGCAATGTCTCAAAACACGCCACATGTCAAATGCAGGGTGGATTAACACTCAGCGTGGCACTGCTGCTTCGTTCTGTAGCAATGCAAGTATTTGAAACAGGGTTTCATAAAAAAAGTACATGCTTTATGGAGAGCACTTATATTGATCTATTATTTGTAGAACAAAGGCACCATGCTCCTAGCTCAATGGAATTTTTCACGGTTATCAAACCATTTAGAGACTGCCTATAAGCATTACACAGCAGGACTTCAGTGAATTATTTTTTATACAATGAATATTTATTTATTCATTTAGTATGCTAATAACTAATAAACTTACCAGACTTGCCCCCACGATGACGGTATGTGCCACAACTGCAATGAAACCATCAATGTGTGCGCCTAGATCTCTGTAATATGAAATGTACAGGACATGCCGAAATTAGGGAAGGCACAGACTGAAATGGCACAAAAATTGCCCCTATAATATCGCTGACAGCATCCCAAAAACTCAATGTTATAAGATGCAGATGTCACGGTGCGAACAGCCACACCCCTCTGGGGAGTAAGTGCAGGTGGCTTCAGGCTGCACATGCAACCTCAGGCTGCTAACACCTGATGCAAGACTAGCGGTAGAAATTGCCTCCAAGCAGCCTTCCAACATAAACGTAATCTATAGCTAACATGAAATGAAAATCACTAAGTCCCCCACTTTCGCCCTGGTATGAGACTTCTCAAGATACTGGCCTGTCAATCACAAACATAAAAGTGGCAGCCACATATCTCATCTTCGGTCCGGAGCAGTGGCAGACTATTTAAACAGACCCCGGAACGGTTTCAACACCTTCACCTTTGTATAAGTGCATTGAGCCAGTAAAGCAAGTCCTCAGAATAATTTGGAGATTAATTTAGGCTCTCCCTGTCAACTGTGTAACCTATTTCAAGACTTTAGGCATGTCAATCGCTGAGGATGACAGTGGCTAAGCCAAACAAGCTTTCATCTTTTTCTGCCTTTTGCATATAGCATTCTTCTTGTTTGTAGCACCCAACAACCGATCTGATTGAATATGTTCATTCTACATCAATGAACATCCGGCAGGCAGCATGCGCCATCGGACTATGTTACAACATGCTCCGTGTGTTGAAGTGAGCAGGGGTGTGAGAGTCTAAATAGAATATGGAAGAATTTTCAGAGAAGCAAATGTTCCTTTTGGAGCACGAGAATACATATTTAGAGGAGCTGCGAGAAAAAAAAAAAACATAAACTTTTTATCACGAAATCCCAAATTTAGATCAGTATTACAAACAAGTTTACTTTTAGAAACCAAGAATACGTACAAGAATTTAAAATTATTTAAATCGTGCACAGTGTACTTAAGCATCGCTATTTCAATAAAAGCAGTATAATTTGAACCACCCCACAGTGCAAAAGAGAAGCATGTAGATGAAGTCTACATTAGCATTTGCAACACCTGTCAAATCCTTTGACAGACTGCACACTGAAATGTGGATCTACCAAGCTGGAGACCTTTGAATTCTGGAGATTCGTAGAGCTGTGTCAAGTGGTGGTGGCTAAAAAAAAACTGGCGTACGGTTTCCTTTATTGTTTCTTAGGGTTGCAGAAACGTTCTACACCACTCAAAATGATTGCCGCTAATTTTTTTTAGACATCAGCGATGATACCGGCACTTACAATTATGCAATGTGAAAGATGCAGAACAAAATGTGCTGTGTCTCGCGAGTAGTATTAACCCCCCCTTCTAAATATTAGTACGCTTTTCCGCAATGCATCAGTGTACTGCGGCAAAGGTGGCTTAAATAGCATTCTGCCTGTGAAAAACACAGCATAAGTTTTCAGCATTAGTTTATAACATGCTGTAGCCTCGTTTTGCCAACACCCATAGTTCCCACAAAGCAGTGATGAGTACGGAAATGCATTTTTGTTTTGAAGCTGAGTCGTCGCACCTATAGGTATCTGTTGCGGTCAGCGCATGAGATGAGGTCACAGCGTTGTTAGTTTACAATAGAACCTCGATTATAGAATTTTCAGGGAACCACGCAAAATAGTCTCATAATCCGGGTGTTGTATAATTGAAAAACTAAGTATAGAGGCAGTGACACTAAGCCTTGCCCCCCTTCTCTTCCCAAAACGAAGGGTCACAGACTGCCTGAAAGAGCCACGACCTTGAGCCTCTGCAAGGAAAGTAGATTAAATTGTTCTTGCCAGTGGCAGCTAATGGAAGCATTACATGGTTGGAGGAGGTGCGAGCGAATTATTCCCAACTTAAGACCATTTGATGCCACAGTTGGTACAACCGGGCCTCAGATATAGCACTTTTGAACACTGGAATCTGCTTATTTTACTTGGACCAGCAGTAAACCAGCATCATCATGAACAACACATTTATATGCCCCTGCACTTTTAATGTAAACCCCAATTACCCCTGAAAACCTTTTATGTAGGTCAAAGTACATAAGGAGGGTTCTTACAGGTTTCCAATGTGAAAATTTAAGGGGAGATGCGGGTCGAAAAACGAGAATTTTCTAAAAAATTATCGATTTTTTGTTTTCACCTGTTTTGTTAAGATTAGTACCTCTACTATTCTGAAAAAAAAAAAAAAAAGCTATGTCGAGAATCAACTGGAAATGCTTTAAAATTGCATCTGAAGAGCACAAGGTGGCTGTCAAAAGGCCGAAAGTGTGTCATCTTCGAGCACCTTGCCGCTGATAATGCGCCGCTGCTCGCCATTGTCGACCGCATGAGGCGAAGAACCGAGCCTCACTCTTCAAATAGCGACGGTTTCCCGCGCTGCTGCAACGCAAGAAATAATAAAGAGAAGCGCGCTTTTGCCGCCTTTTTCGAGCGCCGCGACTGGCTTTTAAATCACGTGGTACGGATCGGGAGCCGCCATTGGCCGCTGCGCGCCTGTGTGTGCTGTGAAGCCTACTTGCAGGATCCGTGTCTCGTCGAGCAGCACAGCTGAACAACGCTTTTCTCGAGTGCTTATTCGTTATGGATGAAGAAAGCCGTAGGAAGCGCGGTCACTGGCCTGTGAAGTTTCACGCGGCGCACAAATTTCGAGGACGCCGGCGCAAATCAAAGCCGAACACTCAAACCACGAAAAGATCGTCTGCTGCCGCAAAACGTAGTGGCAATGACGCCGATGCGCCCGTCGAGTTTGCCGCAGCAATCGAATATGTGAGTGCCTCCCAGAAAAAGATCGGACTCTTCGAAGACGAAGAAAAATCACAGGACGACGAGTCTTCGTTGATTGCTGATGTGACAGCACTGAACATGCTTGTTGTGCGCGGTGCAATGTGTCCGACGTGTCGCCATTTCGGATTACGTGTCCGGGAACCGGCCGACAAGCGGAAAGGACTTGCGTTGTTCGTCGAACTCCACTGCCCAAACAGTGAGTGCCCCGAGACTATTCTTTCGGCGACATATACTTCGCGGCGAGTAGCTTCAGGCGGGGAGGCCAGCGTGAGCGTGGCGGGTGACGGACTGACCGCAAGGAGAACATACGACAGCGGGAGCTCGCGCGATAGCTACGCTGTCAACGTGAAAGCTGTTGTGGCGGCGCGCTCTGTAGGCATGGGCTACGAGCAGCTAGTCCGATTTTAATGGCAGTGGCCGCTACTAGGAGGATTTTTCTTTCTTGTGTACAAATTTCGTCGCAATCAATGACATCTTTGATAAATAAACATGCAATTTTGACTTTAAAACTTCTTTTTCTCAAAACACAAATTTTGCCATTTTTGTCAATGTGCCCCTCCTTTTTCGGGTACTTCTGGTGCTCAGATCTGCATGAAATTTTTCCCAAATTTTTTCCAAAGTACGAGAAATGCAATTATCTCGTTTAAGTTTCAATATTCTTTTTATATAATAAAAAAAAAGTTATGCAAACTTTTACTAGGGTAGAAGAAATATGAACTTCCCACGTTAAAATTTTTCATGTTTAGTACATATTTTGTATGGACTTCCAAATTAGTTGTTTGCATTCCACACTTCATTTGAAACATTATGAACTATCAATTGTAAAAAATTAATGAAGTTTAGGTATGAAAAGAGGGGGGGCAAAGGGCTTAAGTTTTTCACTTTGTCATGTTGCAAAACTAAAAGTATGCAACTTGCAAGACAACTCATTATATATTCGAAATCAGCATAAAAAGTTCTATAAGCACCTCACGTTTCATTGCTCTCGAATGAATATTAAAAAAAAAGTGTCTTCGACCCGCATCTCTCCTTAAGGACATTTAAGGACTTTCCAGAACCTGTTGCAAGTTTTTCAAGGTCTCACAGCAGCATGCTAAGATGAAAATTTTCACTCAAATTTTCAACATGACCAATTTTATTACACAATAAATATATAGATATATCAATTCTAAAAAAAAAAAAAGATTGTAGTCCTACTAACTTCTCGCACTCTCTCCCACACTCTCCATAGGGTGAGGGCACGATGCCATGTCGAGAAGTTATGCGCTGATGGGCTTCAACGGGCATGTGTGGGCACAAAAATTGGGGCTCGACCCCTTTAAGGGGTCGGGCCCCAATATTTGTGGCTTGCACGCTCTTTGTTGCAAGCTTTAATTATAGCTTCAATAAGCACGATACGTGCAACAAGATTAATTTATTCTTGCTCATAATTTGTTACCTTTTTAATATGAACAATTTTCAGTACCTGTTTGTGGGGACCGAGTTGGGCAAGTACATAGCAGTGCAGCTGGCTTAGTCACGTGATCACAAAACTTTGCACGCGTCATGCTGAGTATTGTTAGCTCTCGCACACATGTGCCACACACGCACCTCCAAAACAAACTCGCCGCTGCCTGCAACAGCTGCGATGCTTTGCCGGTATGTACGGGATGGAAGTCCGGAGGTCACTCACCTAATTACAGATCGTGTGATGTCACTACAACATTCATTACCCTTCTTATAGAGCTACGTCAGTGCTGGATGCACTCGCGATGGGCCTCGATTAGGAGAATGAGCATTTTGGTATAGTACTTGGGAAGTGACTTAAAATATATTTTTAAACCCACACGGTGCTTGCAATAGCCTTGAAATTTGATGGCACCACCCCATCAAGAGTGTCAGCTTGTGCAAAGTTCACACTCGCAGCACGTTGCTCAACAACCAAGTAACAACTGTGACAGTGGTTAATTTACACTCATCCTGTGGATACATGCGTGTTAATTTCTAGCACTTTTCTTGGTTTGTTTAGGCAGCACGCTTCCAGTGTTGAGCTGTGACAGTCGTTCATCAGCACTCATCCTGTGCCCTTTCTTTTTGTGCGTTGTGGGGTTTAACGTCCCAAAACCACCATATGATTATGAGAGACACCGTAGTGGAGGGCTCCGGAAATTTTGACCACCTGGGGTTCTTTAACGTGCACCCAAATCTGAGTACACGGGCCTACAACCTTTCCGCCTCCATCCGAAATGCAGCCGCCACAGCCGGGATACGATCCCACAACCTGCGGGTCAGCAGCTGAGTACCTTAGCCACTAGACCATTGTGGCGGGGCGACATTCTAATTTCATGCTATCACATTCACTGCTTCATCTTTGCCACAAACTAACTTTTTTTTTTTTTCACAAACACTTTTGCAAAATGGGATCATGTGCACCCATGCCGCAATACTGCTTCAGAAATGGGGAGTTTGACGGGTTGACACACCCATGTACCACATTAAGGAGGTCGCGATGTCGATGCGAGAGTGCACTGCTCAGTAAATTCCAGGATTTTTAAGGATGGCGAAAAATTCCAGGACTTTCAAGGACCTGTACCAACCCTGATAAAAGATTTTACACATCTTTTGACGTTCAAATTCATTAAAATGCAACTTTCAAAATGCAACCTTATTAGACACAACCCAATCTACCCAGTGCAGTAGGCCGATCCAGTAGCTCAAGTCTTCAGTTTATGTAGATCAAAATTGCAAAAACCATTCTCTCTTTTTAAAATTTAAGGAATACTGAAAAAAAAAAACATTGAAATTCTACTCGGAAGATGTAACTATTCTACAAACAAGAGTTGATCCAACGTATTTTTGAACAGTTGATAGTGTTTTTGGTGGATTGTCAGTGCATGGCGCCTGCATGTAAGCACGAGTTGCGATGTCACACACATACAGGGTGCATGTGTTCAAGCCCTTCTCTTCCTTCTTCTCTATCTCTTCTTTCATCACCTCCCCCTCCCCCCCTGCTGGGAGCAGTGCTTGCTGCTGTCGCTGTTTGTAGTGGTTCAGAGAACCACAGTAGGAGCTAGGCGACTCGAGAGAGACGGGTGACAGTGGGCCTTGTTGGCAAGCTTGTTTCTGGCATGTGTAGAGTCACCACCTCTAGTTCAAGGTGCAGCCACAAGACTTGACAGTTTGCGAAAAACACACTAAAATACTGATTTCCCTTTATGTTCTGCCTGAAATAAAGGTTGTGTCTGTCGATTTCAGCCCCCAAACTTTCAATTTGGTTGTAAATCTTGCCGGGAAAAATTTTGTTCCGTATTCCTTTCAATATTAGGGCTCTGTGTACCAGAACCAGTATAATTAAGAAGGGTTCCACATTAATTTTGACCTCCTTTAACAAGCACCTCAATGCAAGTATGATCCTGCATTTTTTCCCATTGAAATTCAGATTCAGCAAATGGAAATTGAATCATAATTCTCGAGATTAGCAGCACAAAATATTAGTTACTACACTAACGTGGCAATTTATGTGAAAATATGGCAGCATGTCACTAGCAGATGACGTGGAGATAAGCCAGCATCTCACGTGCAGATGAATGATAGTAATAAGCAAAAAAGGCTAATTCAGAGTGCTCTACTTCCAATAGCAAGCAGCAAGAATATCACGGCAAGAACAGAAACCAAGTAAATGCACTTCAAGCATAATAAGGCCACCTCAGAGAAAGCAGCCTATTAGTACTCACAGTTTGACCACGTCCCCGTCTTTCAGGAGGTACTCAGTGTCAGACCTGAGTGGGGAGTAGTGGCAGATGCAGTTGTTCACCGAAACACAGGTGGGAAAAGCAATTCCTGCGGGCATAGGTGCATTCCAATTAGAAGATGCAATCACACACACATTTGCACAGGGTAAAGTTGAAGTTGGGTAACATATGGTCAGGATTACAAAATAGGGCATGCCAACAACTTCAACTAAAATTGCTCTCTACTATGTGAACACACTGAAGCTTAGAAGAATGCGTTGCTGGGCTAGTTCGTTCATAATCTTAAAGCTTGGTAGCGCGAAACTGATGAGGACAGAAGGAACACAGAAATACAGGAAAGTATTTCTGTGCTCTTCCCTGTCCTCACTGATTTTGCACTACCAAGCTTTAAGAACACTTAAGCTCCCATGAGAACCACAGAGTTTTGCGTTTATATAAGCGAAAGTAATGTTACTCCACCCTTGTCATCCTGTAGGATCTTTCACACGCGGAGGAGTTTGTCACCAAAGTAAGAAGTTGCGTATATCACCGCACTATGGTGACCTTTCTTCTTGGATTATGCATCCCGCAACACCAGCGATGAGTTTTGAAAAAAACAAAACAATATCGTACCTTTCTTCAGTTCCTTCTCCTTCTTGAACACCTTGCTCGTCTCTTCGTTCAACTGCCTGTCACCTTCTTCGCAAATGGCGAGTACAGACGTGCCGGCTGTACACATGGTCACAAGGTGTTTAAGAATTTCTGCAAAATTTGAATAAACAAATGATAAAACAGTCATGGTGCGACTTACTAAGACAGATTAGCAACTAGTCAGTACAATAAATACAGACGGCGGCGCACGAGAATCTCCATATGGCCAGCGTTTCATCTAAAAGTGACAAAACTTGCACGGCTACATCGATGTTTAAGTTAGCAAGCGTTTGAAGTAAAAGAAATATGCTTCAAGTGAGTACTTTCCCACATCGATTTCTATTGTGAGCGCGAACTTCACTGCCATACGGCATATTTGTCGGCCTCGCCGGCTGCGATGACCCAGAAACGCGATTTTGCGTTCTGGAACGATCCCGACCCATGACAGATTACGGAAACGCAGGACATCGAAGCTTGTCATGGGCAACAATATGATCGGGCTATTTGGAGCATTGTTATTCCGAGGAAGAAATCTCGGAAGCTGAACATTCCAAGGCACAATGTCCACGTTCCTATTTTGGAGCGAACAGCGTCGGCCGAATGACCGACTAACATGCCACGAAACACACAATTTTATTAGGCAAAAAAAAAAGGAGTCACTGTAATATCCACGGTGCCCTGCAGACGCAAACGCTAAGGTAATTCTCAGAACGAGCAAACGATTCAGGCGCGGCTCGCCTGGAGCAACAAAACACGTTGCCATATTCCCACATGTGGCCGGTACCCGTCAGCGGCGGGAGAAGACGAAAAAGTTAATGCAAACTTTTGAACGCTCCGAAAAGTAGGGTGGCACGGAAGAGAACAAACGAAACGTACTGTTGACCATTTCTCCAGCCATTTTGTACTTGGTGACGACCAAGTCTTGAGCGATCGTCGGCTCATCCTCTTTGTCCGCCATGTTTCTTGAAACACGAATGGATCCCGTCATGCACAGCGAGGCGAGATGGCGGGAAATGCTGTGGCCAGCAACGCTAGCAGTTCGGCCAAAGTTGGTCAAAATAGTAAGATTGTTCGGTCGCTGCACGACAAGAAACGCCTGTTTGGCCTGCTAGTCCTACAAGCAGAGCCAACCTTGGTTCATTAAATCAAAGCGTTTCTCAAGCAAGCTATGTATGCAGAAAGTTGACAACCCGATCATCTCCGGCAGCTGCAGCCTTGACAGCTGCACACACAAAAACCCCCTCTTCCACTTTTCCTCCCAAGCCGCCGATCCGCTTCCTGTCTGCTGTGTTTTGGTTTCCGTTTTTACTTTGTAATGCTTGGTTTCTCCTGTTCGTCCAACTAAGTTCCGCACACTCTTAAGCGCCTACTTTCTTCAAGTAAGTTGCCTTGTAAGTTGTACGGTGCGGTAGTGCAACTTTTATTGCTATCCGCGAATAGCTTCCCAAAACGAATTGCGTGACATTCCCGTAGAAAGCAGCCATGGAAGTAGCGCGGACCCAACACTTTAACGTTTTTAGTTGCATTGACGATATTTATCTCTCGTGTTACTGCTTTCGCACCATCGATTGACGCTGCTCTAACGCAGGTCGTAATCAGGTACGGCTACTAGTAGTTCTGCCGTGCTGCGTTGAAAGTTGCGCCTCCGCTAAGTCAATCAATCTTTGCGCTTTTATTTGTTAAAGAAAATAGCTGAAGTATGGTGTACGTTGTTTCGTTTTGTGTTAGAGAAAAATCAAATGTCGATTGATTCGTTGCAGACGAGGCAACCGGCCATGACGTCTATGGAGCTAAGCCGTGAGTCGCAAAGGCATTTGGCGTTCGTCTCTCTCTCCTTGGGATTCCTTGTTATCTGGACGGCTGTCCTGGCTGGTGTACTGATATCCAAGACACTGAAGGTAATACTGTGTTTTGGTGTATTAATAGGTGTGTTACAGATGCAGCGGTACTGCTATCTATGTAGTAGACATGAGTTTCCTCTCACATATATCTGCAAGCTAATGTCTTTTATAGAAGCTGTTTCATTGCGCCAACTCTTTTGCGCAGGACGATGCCAGTTCTAAGGCAGCTTTGGGAACACTCAAGTTGCACGAGGATATAGCCAAGGTTACCTTTGCTTTGGGTCACGAAATGGGTAAGAATGCCTGTTGCTGTCTAGCTTTGAACGTCTGTGCTTCACTAATGTGGCAGTTTACAGTGCATGTTGTTAAGCCATTTTGAAGAAATGTAAAGGCACACAAAGAACAAAAGCAAAAAAAAAGCACACATATACACAGGCTTTGAACATGCGTGTCACCGCATATGCAAGGACATTGAATGGTTTCAAGTAATGGTCATAGCTTTGTCTTAAAACTTTTTTTCTTGGAGTTATTTCTTCAATTGTAGATCGACATGTATTAAACATTCTTTTTATACTCAACAGCATCCCCTTCATGTGCGCATCGTAATGTACGGTATGTGGGGTCAAAATTTTCAATAATTTATTACACAGTGTGTGTCACTTTGATGAAAAAAAAACAGTTAAGGTGGTGGGATATTGCCATGCACTTATTCTAGTGAGCCATGATACTTACGAAGAAAAAGAGTGACTATATATTGTGTTGCTGCCTATAGTTTGTACTTGCATAGAAGAAATTGAAGTACAGGCCACATTACTGGTTGAGTAATGGCAATCCAAGAAATGAAATATTCATTGTTTTCATCGGTGATGTCATTAGCGGAATGCCAAACATTTTGTTAAAAGTGGTTGTGTTTTAATGGAGATGAATATGTAGAGCTAAATTATATACAAATTGAGTAATGGGAATAAATTCATCCAATACTCCTTGTTTGTGGCCGTTTCTTTGCCATCACTAGTTGTAACTGGCAAGAAAGCACTTGCACAAACATATGCAATGCTTGAAGCAGGTAGAAGTATTCACTAAATCACAAGCTCACTCTCTTTCCTGCAGGACTGACGTACTGCATATTTTTGCTTCTCGTTTTTCTAGTTTCTACAGTAGACTGGCTGCTCTCCGACACTTCTTCCGGAGATTCGAGCGCCGACCAGCGTGCTTTGGCCTTGACTTGGCGAGTCACTGATGATGTGCTTGCATCCGCATCACCAGACCCTGGCACAACAGCACGCCTAGCAGTTTTCCGCCAGACGGTCAGACGGAACTTCACCTCGCCCCTGGACACCTCTTCCTTTTACCTTTCCCTGTGCAACACCCTCCTTCATCGGCACTTGTTTCCTAGCTCGCCGGACGAACCATCCGCAACCCTGGCGCACGCGCTCTTTGTTCGAGGAATGTCGCTGAGGATGGGCCAGCTAGCACTCGGCACGGTTTACATTCGCTCGGCAGCTGACGTTAATGTCACGGAGTATGCTGGCCTGAATGCAGTGAGTCAAGAGTTACTCGAAACAGCCTTTCACCTCGGACCACGTGCTCGCGCACGCTGGGCCCAGCTGCAGGAAAGGAGGCCCACAACGGCGCTGGACGATGTGGCCGAGGATATGGCGGGAGGCGGAACCCGGAAAGCCAAGCTTGCTCCAGCCTTTCTGGAAGAAGTTAAGCAGCAGCTGGCATTGCTGTTGATGGCTCGCGAAGTCCTGGGAAACAGCTTGCAGGCATGGGCACAAAGAGGGGAGCGGGGGGCACGTGCAGCTTTGGCGTTCCACAGCTCTATAGCCGGAGTGGCATTAGTGGCAGTTCTGCTCTGCCTTATTGTCGTAGCCTGCTCACTCAGAGATTTTGGTGCACATGAATGCAAACCTGACCTGGCTCCCATCATAGTTTCGCCCGAAAAATCACACTGCTATATGTAATGTTGGTTGGCATAATCGTATGTGCAGTATACAACCTCTCTTGTTGGTGTGATAAGAGAAGTTTGTGCACAATGTAAAGCTTTTGAAGTTTTAAATTCACCAAGTCGTAAATGCCAGTCAGGTCGACATAATACGTTGAGGTGGCAGCTGTTTTGTAAAAATAGATCATATGCTTTCTTGTGCATGTTTTTTCATAAACATGAGGACACGACCTGGGAAGCAAATAGTAGCAACGACTCCCGCCAAGCCCATTGAAGCATGTGCAGATTTTCTCGCTGGCTGTTTGTTCGTGGAACCCGTGAATTACTGTAGATGAGAAGCAATCTAAAATTGTGTTGCACAGTATTGATGAAGATAAGGGCAGCAAACGGCAAGTGAAAGTTATACGTTGACTTGTTTTTCTGGCAAAATGTTTTTGAATTGGTGTCCTGTCTGAAGATATTGGGAGCCAGCAGGCAGGAGCTTGTGCTGTAATTAGTTTATGCATTATTATTTATTCCTGGTACGCATTCGCTGCCAGAATGAACACTATAGTTTAGTACACACTTCATGGTCACAATATAGATTTATAACCTTCAAAGATATGTTGAAAACTGACTGGAAGAGGAATCGCAATCGCACCTTTATTATCGGTTGCCCTCCTTTCATGTATGGCTGCCTTTAAAGGTATAGTAGTCAATATACTCTTGTCGCTTTACATTGCACAATTTTAGGTGACAAATCATTTTAAATGTTCTAACTTGTTTAATTGTTCACAGCAAATGGAGAGACTTCAAGGGTTTCAAGGCTACATTAAATACAAGTAGGCCTTACTGTGAAGTTTACATAAACGCACATTTCAAGCACAACCTTCATTTTATTTTCACGGATCGTACATATCAACACTCGGACTTTTCATCTTTTTGACATCGCATATCGCGTGTTACTAGTATGAACAGCACAATCTTTATTCACATTCCATCATATGTACACTCTGTACCCATTGAAGAGTTTCAGAACTAACGACAAAATTCTTTGAAGCTAGTTTGAATGCCTCCTTGAACACTCAGGTATTGCGGGTACATGCATTTGCGCAATAACCCATGTTGGTGTAATGCAAGGGTCGCATCAGCTCGATTTGGTATCGTGTTTTATCATTCGCTGCTCATGTATGGGCAATCTCAGTGATAACATCCCGATAGTGGAAAAGCGCTGACTAGACTGCTAATAAAGCTAGTGAAGCACGAGTAAAGAATGCATTGGAATAGGATTGTTTTATTATTCTTCCGGACGCAGCTCCTTTGTTCTTTAATATTCAAGAACCCCCATTATGCATGTCCACAAATGTCATATAGCGTATGCAATCTCTTTACAAGCTTCGTCAGTGAATTGTATTTTGTATCATGCCTGTAGTTTATTCTCTTTTTATTGTCACACTCGCTATTTATTAACCTTTTTACCTGTCGTTCTGTTGGGGTGAAAGGTTGCTGCACTCTACTTAACTGTGATTGTGAACAAGTGTTTTGGAAGTTTCGAATCTTCATATCAGTGTTGTTATACCACTATACCTGTTACCTGCACCAACTATTTATTGCCATATCTGAGAGCGACTTTTATAATGTTGTGCAAAAAGGTAGCAACAGCGTTCACTGCCCACTGAAGTGCCTAGAAGTGTAGTGTAACATGTACCGTCTTGCAAGTTACTTATGCTGGAAGCACTTCGTGAATGCAGCGCTTAGTGCCCATGAATGCATACACTTTCTTATATCGTAAGTTATTTTGAGACAAGACGTGATCATGAGAAGATATAGGACTGATATTTTTTAATGTTACACCATGTCGCATGTTTGATAGAAGGCCTTCATTGCTTGTTTAGTAGCAGGGCCCTTTTCACAAAAAGTGTGTTTCTTTTTTTTTTTTTCCCTCTTTCGATGAATGTCCACTGTATTTTGTGTGTTGGGCCAAAGGGCAAAAATAAACAGCATTTACATTTGAACGTCTTGTGTCTCTCATTACTTTGAGAAGACTTTTAGACTATGTACCCTTATATATATGCATTTTTCTGATCATGCAGATCACCTAAATGTATTCTTGGGTGTAGGTTGCTTTTGTAAAGGTCATGAACTTCTGTCACAACAGCTGCCAAGAATCTTGAAATCGAAATCGAGTCCTTGAGGTGAATACATAACCCATTTTAATGCACCACTCTGGGCATCACCAGGGATCTTCAAAAATTCTTTTTAGGCAAGAGAGTACAGGTACTTGGGTAAAGCTTTGCATGTAGAATACTTTGTGGACCTAACAAAACGTATAAAAGAAGAAACGTTCGATGCTCCGGTCACACATAATGAAATATGAAGGGTGTGCTCACATCAATGTTTTACACCGATTGAGCAAATTGCATCATTGAATTGAAATTGTTTATTTTCCATCTTCAGAAAGTACAGATAAGAGGATTGTAAAAAAAAAGCGGTCTTTGGGCAGTTTCACCAGCCAACAACCCTTAAATTTTTGCATTTTAAATTGAATGGTACCCGTGTTTAAACATGCTGTGCTGTAGTAAAATCTACAATTATAAAATGAACTCCTGCTGTGCTACAGCAAGCCGAGTTCATGAATTTTTCTTTTTGTGCGTGTGTGAAGTGTTAAATTGTCACTTCTTGTGCCAAGTACAGCACCGGAACTTTTTTCCTGGGAAGCTATGGCAATGATAAAGGTTCTTCAGGAAGGCACAAGCATCTTCACGGGCACTGGCTACACTATACGCTTTTAGAGACTTGCAAGTGATAACACGCAAAAATTTCAGATTGGCAGCCGTGCCCCCATTCCTTTTAATATTCAAGCAATCCCTGTTGATTACCATTTCATGTTTCCTACCTTAATTTCACTAGCATGGCATGCAGTAGCATCTGAGGCATACTCCAAAAAATGCCATTAGTGGTATGTTGTTAATGTGGCATTAACGAGAGAAGGTGAATTCCAAGGGCTTGTTTTTCTTTCTGAAACACATTAGTTAGAACAGACAAAAACGTCATACTTGGCTTTAATTTTCTAATTAATGTAATGTGACATGAGCACTGCTACTGTTATAATCATTCCTGCATCCATAGTTTCACTACTAATATGCTTGGATGTGAACTCGGAGTCCCTTAAGCATTCACCTAATATACTCCAAGGTGAAAGCCAAATTCTGCTTATCAACATTACCCTTGCTACCCTGAAGTTTTCCGCTCCGCTTGTGGTGTGGCACTGTCTCCAGGATCATTCCACCTTATTGCAAAGCAACAGCGTTGTGACATGTCACGATGACCTAACAAATTTTGGCGATCTGTAGCGACGGGATATCTGATTCTTCGTACCACTCAAGTGGCTGATGCCAACAATCGCTTTTCCTGTTCATTGAGGCATACAAGGCTTTCACCCTAATGAAGAAACTTGAGGAGTTGACAACCACACAGTGTGCGATGAAATATAAAATGACACTCAAAACACTAAGGATTGAAAGCTAGCAGAGCGGATCAAGGAACGAATGACTGGACAGTGGCATCATGAGGAGATTGATTGATTGATTTGTGGGGTTTAATGTCCCAAAACTACCCTATGATTATGAGAGACGCCGTAGTGGAGGGTTCTGGAAATTTTGACCACCTGGGGTTCTTTAACGTGCACCCAAATCTGAGCACACGGGCCTACAACATTTCCGCCTCCATCGGAAATGCAGCCGCCGCAGCCGGGATTTGAACCCGCGACCTGCGGGTCAGCAGCCGAGTACCTTAGCCATTAGACGACCGCGGCGGGGCCATGAGGAGATGCAACTGGTAGAGCATTGGAATGGATACCAAGGGATTAAAAGCTAAAGACAGCAAAGTGCAAAAAGGAGTAACGAAATTAAGAAATTTGCTAACATTTCGTACGTCCTTACACAGGACACGGTTAGTTGGATTCAGAGAGCATCTACGGTTGGAGGGGCCTTTTTCCTGCAGTGGACATAGCTAATGATGATGTTAATGAGTGGCCATCCTAATCTGGTTCTCCTCTTGGTGCTTCTCACATAGCCAAGGTTGAGAAACCACAATGCAAACAGTTCTTGGCCAATCCCCCAGCGTGAATGTGTGCCAGTTTCCAGGCACTTCCTTCCTTCCTTCATTGGTTGATGACATCACGCAGAGGGATTTCTCACTGTTCCAGCACAGGCCAAAAACAAGTGATCTATAAATGAAAGTGGGCTATTAAAGCAACATGACGCATTTCGTTTGCACAACTAAAATGGCAAAGTTAGACAAGTGTACATAGCCATACCTATGTCTTAAACAGACGCATGCTATTTGAAAAACAAAAAACAAAGAAAGCTCTTGTACTGTGTGGCCATATAAAAAAATATTGATGTGTGTACAAAAACGTTCATGGATATTTAGGTGTTTCCTTCCAGATTGCTTCATTTTTCATGCCGTCCCACTGAGCATGTGGTAAGGCTTCTTCTTTAATTGAGCTCGAAAGAAGACACTAAGACAGGAATACAAAGTTAACTTAACACGACTTTATTTATGGTCAAGCATTATAGAGGGCAAGGGCAAAAAAAAAAAAAAAATATTCAGAAGGGCCTTCCACGACCCTCGTCATCGCCTCCTCCAGACTTTGGTGCTTTGATTGTCTCATCCACAGAGAGGACGAGGCAGGCTGCTTCGGTGGCTGCGACCAGGGCATTGATCTTCACGACAGCCGGCTCCCAGACACACGCCTTCAGGTTGTCTACGACGTCGCCTTGCAGGATGTCAACGCCTGCCCAGAGCTCTCCGGCGGCGTGTCGCTGTCTCAGCTTGTTCAGCAGTGTGGTGGCATCGAGGCCAGCATTGTCGCAGAGTTGTCTTGGGATCACCTCTAGCGCCTTGGCAACGGCGGCTACCAGGAGTTGCTCCTTGCCAGCCACAGAACGCGAGTAGTCCCGCAGATGCTTGGACAGCTCCATCTCAACGGCACCTCCGCCTGCCACAACGGCGTCATTCTTCAGTGCGCGGCGGACAATCATGATGGCGTCGTGCAGGGACCTCTCAGTTTCGTCGATAAACTGCTCGGCGCCGCCGCGGAGGATAATGGTGACGGTACGCGTCTGAGGGCAGCCCGTGAAAAGGTTGTAACGTTCACCGCCGATCTGGATCTCCTCTAGCAAAGCGCATCTGCCCAGGTTGGACTCTTGCAGGTCAAACACAGTTGAGAGAATAGCGCCGCCGCATGCCTTAGCCGTCCGCCGCAGGTCTTCGTCTGTCACGCGGCCCGCGCAAAACATGTCCCTGTCGGCGAAGTACTGCGTGGCCACATCACCGATGGGCAACTTGGAGAGGACGACCCGCGCCCCGCTCTCGTGAATCTTGCGCAGCTTTTCGTACAGCACTTCCCACTCGGCGTCCACGACGTTCTGGTACTCGCGCACGCTCTGCACGCGCACTTCAGCGTTGTCGCGCTCGGCCTTCAGTTCGAGCTCGACGTTGAGCAGTGCAATCTTCGGGTTTTCGTACTTCTTGGGCTGCATTTCGAAACCGGCGTACGAGAAGGTCTTCTTGAAGGCGACGCCCGAAACGAGCATCGAGTCCTCGAGCGCGCCTCCCTGCACTTTCTTGATGCCGATCATGTTGAGCGGCAGCAGCTCGTCTAGCTGCATGACGGCATCTACGACCATGCGAGCGAAGAACTCCTTCTGGCCGGCAATCAGCTTAGAGCTGAGCGTTGTCATGGCGCAGCGTTCGAGGAGTTCGCGCTGTTCCTTGCCCTTCTGAACGGTGACGGCAATCTCGCGAATCTTGGCCACCGCCAGCTCGACCGCTTTACGCAAGCTGCGAATGATTACCTGAGGATGGATGCCTTCTTCGACGTAAGGCTTGCACTGCTTGAGGAACTCGCTCGCCAGGAGTACGACCGTGGTCGTGCCGTCGCCCACTTCGGCGTCTTGGGACTTGGCGATGTCCGTGAGGGTCTTGGCGGCCGGGTGAACGATGTCGAGCTGTTTCATGATGGTCGCACCGTCGTTGGAAATGGTTGTCTTCCCGGAACTGTCCACAATGAGCTTGTCCATCCCACGAGGACCGAGCGTAGTCCTAACGGCGTCGGCAATCGCTTGACAGGCATTGATGTTACTGATTACCTGTGGCTTCCCCTGGGAATTCTCTGTGCCCTCTTTGAGCAGAATGATCGGTGCCTGCATCATCTTCCTGCGTTTGTAAGTAAGGGTTCGGTGAGCCCTTTACTGAATATGAATGAACCGGTGGTAGGCGCGTCAAAGAAACACGCTGCCGGGAACAAAACGAGAGATTTGCGCATGCGCGAGCGCCCTTCGAGCCGGCGGCCGCTACCTGCAGCGTAGGCTTGTTCTTTCGAAAGCAATTTTAACCTAATATGGGCACTACAGTTGGCTCCCACGCAATACGCAAATTAACGCTATGTGTTTTCTTTTTTCTTATCCAACCAAGAAGTGTACTGAAATACATGGCCAAAATAATTTAGATTAAGCGAAAATGTAGCTGCATTGTTTTTGCTTAAAAAACGAAACAAAAAACTATATGTGAGGCGGCATGGCTGAACGCACGTCGGCGCACGTGTGACAATCTTGTGGGTGTGAATGCACTTTGAGCACGTGCGTATCCGTTGCCCCATGTGTTAGTCACGAGGTGCCCTAGTTTGTGTGTTTTTACCTGCGCTCTTGATCGACGGAAAGCATATAATCGTGCCAACAAGCGTACTGAAGCTGTCATTGAAGTGACTCTGGTCGCCGCCGATTCACCTGTCACCGATAACGACTGAAAGATAAAAAAAGAAAGTAAATGAAAAGACACTCACGTTCTCATTCCCCGATTCGCAGTTAGATTACGCAATTGCTCGTCGATTGGCTGTGGATATGACATTAGCGGGAAGAGGGATAATGGACGCGTGAATTGAATTTACATGACGCTTCACTTGCAGGAAAGCTCACGAAATGGCGACTGTCTGTGTTCTGGGCGGTGGAATCAGTGGCCTCGCCACGGCGTACTACCTTTCCACTCTTGGGAAGGAAGCCGTGAAAAAAGTGAGACATATATGTTCGTGCCATCTGTGAATTACTCACCCTTCTCCACTTTGCACAATACGGTTGTCACGTGACGCACTTTCAATCGAGATCGAGTTAATCGATTTCGATTAATTGTTTCATTAGCGCAAGCTGCGGAAAGAAGCTCCAAGTGGAGCCTAGGGATTCCATCCGGATCGGGCTCGGTTGCGATCAAAAGCTGCACCTGTGTAAAACCGGGGAGAGAACTGAACTTAACAGCACCAAGTAACAAGTTCTCACGTACGCACACCCATGCTTACTGACGTGAAAAAAAGTTGCACAACAGGTATTATAAACAGTGTGCGATCATTACCTACAAAGCTACCAAAGCACCAATTAGTGAATATGATGAATCTGTAATAAACTACTGAAGAAAGCGAGGTTTTCACGTAGAAAGTACGTCAGGTGTGACCAAAACAGGCGTAGTGTGTGCTCTGACGATCAGCGGCAGTAAAAATTAATAGGTTTTGTCTGAATATCCTGACAATTGTGTTTCCTCTCGCTGTAGTGTGTGGTATATTACACCACTTACATATATCTCGGCCATTCATGCATCCTTCATTCATTTGGATTGGTTGTTCATCATGCAGCCAATTTGCTCACTGCTCTTAAAAGATCCTTGAATAAGTCCTGTGGAACTGCAAGGATAGGTTCATCGCAAGGAAAGGAATTGCTACATTGTACCTTTTGCTGCATTTTTGCGCCTCTCATAAAATTGATCCATCTGTGTATTTGTCTTACTTGAAGTGCTGCATGATCCTTTCCAATCTGTGAATGCTCACTGTCTAAGAAAAGGCTAAGCTGAACCCCGTGAGTACGTTTCTCAAGATTGCTCATATAAAAGCCTAAAAAACTGGTGAATGGTTGTCGCACCTGATATACTAGTACCGAATGGGCATTCAGAAACAGTAAAGCCGTATTGTTTCCTAAACTTGGGTATGCAGTCCTGTGTGTGCCTGAGAGAGCATTGAATCTTTTTAACATTTATATGCAGGGAAATAAAGTTTTAACATGCTGAATGATGTCCCCGAGTGTATTCGAAACAGATCTTAAAGGTTTGCAACAGCCAATTAAGAAATCTAGCTACCTTAACCTTTGGCAAATGTCTGCAACAATGAAAGAAGCAGCAAAGTTATTGTAATATGGCAGTGTGCCCTGACTTACTGAGTATAAAGGCAAAGCTATCAGTATAAGTTAGTCTTATTCCAAGGCTTACAATTTTTGTTTTTCTTGTCTAATGTTTTGTAACGTCATTCAGCTTTCACCTTCTCATTTTGTCATTCTTGCTGTTAGAGCCTTTCTTTTCATAGAAGCAGTAGTAGATACTTTGTTTCTGCTTATGATACTGCCATAGATTTCTTGATGCAGTTAATTATGCAATGACAAATTGCGGCTTCTCCAGGTCTTGCTGATAGAAAGGAGCGGGCGGCTTGGTGGTTGGATTCGATCTACTGCACTACCTGACGGGACAGTTTACGAACACGGGCCCAGTTCTATGCGTGCTGGCGGCAACTCTGGACGAAATGCTTTACAGCTGGTAGGTTTCCACGCATGCGCTGCTTATATGCATGCTTTGTTACAAGTTAACTTATCAAACATAATTAACAAGCAATGAGAAACGTTTCATAGATGCTGACATTGCTTTGCATCGTCTGCATTAACCTCAAGTATATTGAGATAGCCACTACATTATGACACTATCCTTTCTGTTGTTGTCATGGTTGTATACATTGTACACGCATTCAGAAAGTAACCATCAAGACTGCTTTGGCCAGAAACGTGTGGTCTTTTACATCTATAAATAAGTCCTCGTGAGGTAACCTTAGTAAATATACTTAATAAACAAAATGCTTTCAGGCCCAGGATCTAGGATTGGCTGACCATGTTCTGGCAGTGCCTATATCTTCAACTGCAGGTTAGTCAGCATTTAGTATCTGTTTGTTCATAGATATGTACACGTAGTGCTGGTAAAGTGCTCGTTTGCTATGTGAATATGCTGCTGCAAGAATTTTGCAAATACATGCTACATTAAGGAAGTCACAGGGGTCAGAACATATGTTTCAGCTGGTTTCAAATTTTCACGTGGCCTCTCCACCCTTCCCCATCACAGGAAAGGGAAGGCGTAATCTGTCCTCATGATTTTACTCACTTCAGCAATGTCACGATGCCAGATTTTGCCACGATGCCAGCAGCAATACGCCATTAGCACACAGCCAACGACCAAGCAGGGCATCCCCAACATGAGCGCGTGTCATAGATGCGCAGGGAGGAAGCACAGTTCGAGGAGCACCCTTTCCTCGGCGGTAAAGTAGTCAGACGCCTGTTTATCTCTGAGGTCTTAGTTCTGGCAATACCGCTTCTCCTGGTAGTCTTGGGCTTTACAGAACGGCAGAGGGCAGCACGGAAAAATAAAAACGCGAACTGCGTGACCGAAACTGCATCATCGCATTGCAGGGCCAAGGTGCTGTTTAGTAGAGCAAAGGTCCAATCAACGAGCTCGGTAGTGCGTCAAGTTGCCCATGGTCAAGCTTGCATCACTGTGTGTACAAGGGCCAGAAAAAAAGAGGCGTGGGACTTGTTTTTTGAAATGGAGGGTCTGCGTGGTGCGCAGTGGTTTAATATTCGGAAAATGTGATTGTTGCAGTCTGCTGTACTAATTGGTGAGCTTGTTTGCGAGATGAAAATAAAGAAGAAGTCGAAGCGTGTTTACTGGCCCTTTAAGGTGTAAAGTTGTATTACACAGTTCATGAATTCGTTTGTCATTCTAACTAATTTTTCAGGGGTCCTTTATCTTCTTGCTTCATCAGTCATGTAATTCTTCATTATATGCCTAATTCATGGCAATGCCACCTCTTCCTTGTGCTTTCAGGGCGGGAGCAGATGGTGCTGAACAAAGGACGCCTGACTCCACTGCCCAGTTCTTTCAAGGAGATTCTGTGGCCTGGTCCGATGTTCCGGACGCCCCTGCTTCTGCCTCTATTCAAGGACTTTTTTGTCGCTGGCCGTCCTAGTATAGGCAGTGATGAAAGTATTCACGACTTCATGCGGAAGCGCTTTAACAAAGAAGTAAGCACCCACATAGCCCCTCACCAGGCCACATAGCAAATTAGAGGTATGCTTTGAAAGTTGTTGTGCCTCTCGAATGTGGTCGAGTGGTTATGGCGTTTGGCTGCAGATCCAAAGGTAGCAAGATCAAATCTTTGTTGTGGCAGCTGCATTTCGACGAAGCCGCAGTGCTGGAGGCCTGTGTACTGAGATTTAGCTGCACGTTAAAGAACACCGGACAGTCAAGATTTTCAGAACTTCTATTACAGTGACCCTCATAAAAATACTGTGGAATTATTACCATTATGGAAGTTGTTAGGTGGCCAACACCGAACATTCTATTGTGAGAAATTTTCAAATTGGTTCATTATTAGCAGAACTGAAAAATATTTTGGAGTGGCGTACAATCATGATGCGAGGAAGCGAGCTTCACATTCTTTGCACTTGCCCTGTCTAGCCTTGAACAGCTGGACTCCTTCACTGCATCATCCAATGCCAGAGCCAAAGTTATCACATTGCACACAAGTCACAATACGTGGCGTGACGTAGCCTTTTTCTTTTCTCTAGAATTTGGGTTGCACTAGGGTGCCTTGGTGCCCTCTTCGCCTGCCACACCAAAGGGGAGGCGACCACCTTGAAGTTCTCTTTTGTGTGCAGCACAGCACCTTTACCTATGTAACGCACTCACTGTCAAATTAATGGACTTGCGTCGTTCTGGAGTACAGAGCATGCGAGGCAAAACGCTGATGACGATTTAATTTGAAATCTCACATTTATACGTGACACATTGTGATGTAACTCTTGGCAGACACAGTCATGTGTGCACAATGCTATGTGTGCACAAGGCTAGCATTGCACTTTTCAGCTCAAAATCGCCAGACCTTTTGAGGAGTCTTTAAAATGATACTGTTACACAAACCCTAGCATGGCTTAGCATATACTTTCGTAGAGTGTGCAATCAAGCTGCACTGCATGGGCATAGGCAGTGATGCTACCGCTGTACCAATTGTGCCAAACTGCACCAAAGTGCCCTGGCGGCTACATCCTGCTACATTTCCACAAAGTTTGGCGAGGCTGCGCCAAACCTGTGCCTAAGGGTGTTTTCTGACTTTCAGAAACAAAACTAACTACTCGCAGTTCTTCTATTGAAAGCGACGTGGCTGTAGACCCTGTGTACGACGCGATCTGAGCCAACTTAAAGTGTGCAAAAGGTTGCTGTTGCAATAGGGTTAATGTCGGATTTTATGGACTATCTAGGGACCACGAAATTATCTGAAAAGATGAATTCATGTTGTTTTTATCCCGCTCAAGATCACGACAGCCGAAATAGTTTCAGTGCCTCGCAGTAGACTTATCAGGCATTTTGGTGCATGGCTAGGTGTTTGGTGCAACCAGGCTTCAACCATAAACCCAGCTTTAAATAGTGGTGTTTGCTTTGTGACACACAAATGTGCTTGTTTTTTTCCTATTTATTGAGGCATCTAAATGACACCTTTTAAATAATTTTGGTGTTTACCATGCTACTTGCATGTCCTTAACCAGCACACTTCAATTTTTCTTTGCATCACGTCTCGGAAACCATTCATATGCAGGTTGCCGACTACATTATGGATCCCGTGACGCGCAGCATGTGTGGAGGCTGCTCAAAGGAAATCAGCTTCCGGTCACTCCTGCCCAACGCTTTTGAGGGTGCCATGTTGCATGGCTCATTGTTAAAGGCTCAGATGCAGCAGGTGAGAATTCCTACTGTCATTGTTCAGCAAATATCAACAGAGGCATGAACAGGCAATCACATATAAGATGTGCTCAAGACAAAGATTTAGTAACTGTTCTGTTGCACAGAAATGATTGAATGCATTTTGTTCATAGCATCTTTCAATCTCGTCTCATCAACATTCTTTTTTGTCTGTATCAAAAGGGGAATGTTGTAGGACAAGTCAGGTATACCTAATTGCACTGGAAAGCTCGGAGCAGAGGCAGATGCCCGATTCAGCTTTGAAATTAGTCTAGCAACAGTTCAATCATGTCGAAATACAGCAGCGAGTCATAAAAACAAGTCTTTGTGAAACTCTTTGTGAAACTCCTATGAAAAAATGGCTTGATTGTTCTCACATGTGCATCCATAGTCGCAAAATGTTTGTTTGCCCTCGAACAGGTCAATCAAGCCAAGCATACCATCAACATGCTCAGAAGTGAGGAGGGTGGTGCAGACAGCTTGGCCGCCCACTCCCTAGATTGGTCCGTGTGGAGCCTGCGCCGTGGCCTGCAGCAGCTGTGCGACACCCTTGCGGAAAAGCTGGACGCAGCTCCGAACGTACACGTGTACGTCAATGAGGCCAATGTGTCGCTGAAGCCGAGTTCAGATGGAAAGATTCTGGTGAGCGTGCAGTTTAGCCTCGAATAGCAAAAGCAAACTGGTTAGCATAAGCTTCATCTCTCTTGCATTGTTGCAGGCAGGTCTTTTTGTCCACTAGGTAAATATGAAAAAACAAGAGACATAGACACGATATATAGTGCATAAATGGTAAACTGCTGACTGAGTCTTGTTTCAAAAGCAAGAAGCAGATTTAATACCACTACTTACGATAAAAGCGGCGAGTTGCACGCTCCCCAGAAAAGATGAAAATTCAACATTGGTGACAAGCAACCGAAAAAAAAAATTATTTTTTTAGCTTGTTAGTGGTATATTTGCTAACGCTAAAGAAGGACACCAAGTGATGATTCACTTTCGAAGTGTGTCAACGGTGTTACTGTAGCATAAATGACCCTCATAAAGACAATTTGTTTGAAAAACATCACTTATAGGACCTTAAAGGGACACTAAACAGCAGAAAACATTTTTCGCGTATTATGGTGAAGTACAATTTCATAATCCCAAAAAGACCACTTTTACTGCGACACTTAGCTTGGTGTGCATGAAAAAACGTGTGAAAAGAAAATGCGGGTCGAGATGCCACCGTGAGATTCCCGGCACCAAAAGCTGTGACGTAGTAAATTTTGAAAGCATCTACGGGATCCTGCATAGCTTCTACTCGATAAAGCTGAAGTACGTTGTCATCTGTGGGTGTCCTAAACCTAGCATACGAAGTTTCGAAAAATTTCATCATACCAATGTCGCGAAAATCCGAAAAATACATTATAAAGGCAGAGCATTTCTTGGTTGCACGATGTCGCGCATCGGTGTCGGGGATGGCGTTGTCCACACCCCCATTGCGCATGCCAGCCCAGGAAGACACTCGCAAAACTGTTGCTCCCCTCCCCCTCTCTCGCCTTGCAGGGTCGACACAGGCAGCGTCTGCTAGCGAAAAATTGACTGCTTGCTCTGCACAGCCATTCACTGGCCACCCCATATATGTAGGCACTGGATCGCGCGTTCAAAATTTAGTCAAGGGCGTCTTTGTTTGGTTTTGGCTTGACATTGAAGGCAACGCTTCTCCTTGATTTAATGAATGAGAACAATAAAGACAAAATAAGAATTAAGCATTCCCGAACCAAACCCAATTACGCAACATTCACACGATACTCCACCATGCTGGGACGCATTTGCTCGAGTTTCTCCTTGTGGGAAGATGCGGGGGATAGTATTTTGTAATTTCTTATGTCACACGCAGAGATTCGGGCTCGCAATCTAAGAATGAAGCTTCAACCGAAATTTTGTCTGCTAATAACAAACTTATGACAGTGAATCTTATGGCATCAGCTTTCTCAGAGTGCAGTTTATCAATTTAAACCAAGTCATTGTTACTCCTTAGTGTTCCTTTAAGGGGGCAGACTGGTCTTAGACATTTTTTGTTTATTTCTTCAGTGATCCTGATAAAACTGCACATGGTTATGCAGTTTTTTTGTGCTGATTTCAAATATTTAATTAGTTTTCCTGTCATTCACTTTGTTCCTGAGATAACTTAAGTTTGCCCCCTATTGTTTAAGGCCACCATAGAAGAAAAAGTGTCTAATTAAAAGTGATATTTAGGATATGCCAACATAGACTAATGACTATAGAGTGAAAGTATGGAAGAGGTTTTTGTTTTTAGGCCTTTATTGGTTATTTTGCAGCAAAATGAACTATACATTTTCAAAAGCAGTTGGAATTGTGTTACAATACTGATTATTAATTAATTAAAAAGGCATGCGCTCTAAATTCTGCTCCCATACTTGCATTCTACACACATACAGCTTTCCACTGCAAAGAGAATTATTGTTGTACCTGCCCAAGCTGCAGAGATATTGAGGCCTCAAAATTGAATAGTCACAAATTTACTTTTTTGAGAAAAATGGAAAAAAACTGAAAACACACAGTTTCTTTAAAAAGCAACAATCATGGTGTGCATGTTTTGCAATCCTCATGAAGGCGCTCATAAATTAGTAGGAGAGCTCTAGACAAAGGTGCTGGCAAATTATAAAGAAGCCTCAAAGTCGGTTCCCTATTTTTTTGCAGGTTCTGCATGTTAATAGCACCAAAAATCTGGACAGTTAAAATCACATTACAAAAAAATTACTGCTTCCTGGTGCGTGAAAATTTGCAGAGAGATAGAAAAATACTTGCAGAAACCAAATATGTCAATTTTAAAAAATGAATTTTTTTGTCACTTTTTGGTCCCAAAGAGCAGTCTGCCCCCTTAAGAAGCAATCATTGTCTTGGTAGGCTACTAGCTAACAACTCACTACCAACTCAGACAAGCAAGTAGCTGCACTGATATGGGGCCGATAATGAGCAGTATGGATACCAAATAAAAGAAAGCAGCACTGCTGTTTCATAATTTAGCACTGTTAGCTGCAGTCTTCGTCCAGCTGCACTCGTGGTGCAGTGGTTGCTGTTTAGTTTATGCATCCTCTTAGTTTCGTAACACTTGTCACCACTCTAGAGACTGAGTTACAGGCATTTTCTGCCATACTCTTTCCATTGTTTACAAAACTTTCAATAAGCCACGGGAAAACTTTTTCAAGCATTTTTCTTTCCTTTTTTGTCACGAAGTTTTCCGTCTACACAAAAACTCAAAATGAAACTTGTGAGAGGAGGCAGCCATTTCGTACTCATATTCACTATGCGTAGCATGTAGAACGTGTGCACAAAATCATGTGTAGGACTTCAGGCACTTTTCTTTTTCCATGTTATAGAGAAGAACCAGGTTAATTTATTTTGCATAATATTTCATATGGTCTAATTGTAAATATCTAGTTAAGAGTGCCAGTTAAGGTGAAACAAAAAAATCTATGCTATCTCTATATTGAATCAGTTATAAAACAATTTGGGCTAGATTTAGTTTTTGTGGCTATGAGACTAGATTTGACTATATTGTGCAGAAATATAGGCAGGCTTTGTTCATTCATTCTCGATCCACAAGCTGCTTTGTGACGTCTATGACACTTTTGGGACAATGCATGTGTATAGTATTTGCACTTCATATCTGAGCCGCCTATCAGACAGAGCACACATAGTATGTGGCTAATTCTGTGTATGTGATTCACTTGCTGTGTTTCAGGTATCGTTTGCAGAATTGGCAAAGCCTGTAGACTACATCTTCAGCTGCATTCCTGCACGAAGTAAGATTGCATTATGTTTTTCATATTCTAAACTCTGTTTTGTGTCATGTTTTCTTTCATTATAATATTTATACAGGGTGTTCTAATACTTATGTCGCCCACTGTGTTAAAGTTAGATAAAGATGAGATTTTTTATTGTATTCATATTAGAAGAAATGTACTGTAATCACATCTGTGATGAATAAGTATTTGTGCACAGTACAGGGTGTTGGGTCAATCGTTTTACTGTCCGTAATCGTTTTCTGTATGAGCTGGCTAGAGCGTATGCATGCGTGGTTTGAACATGCAGAGCTGTCTCAATTGCTGATTCATGATTGGCCGGAGCTCGCTCAATCTCTGCTGTCTATACCATCTGTCCACTTGGCATCTGTCAACTTGGAGTTCAAGGGTCAAGTACTTCCCTACAAGGCAAGTCTTCATTTTGCATCATAGCACCCAACAAAAAATAAAGGCGCTGTCATCCCCACTTATCTTATGCACACAAACTGGGTTCCCTTTTTCTATTCATACCTCATATGTATAAATATTATCATCTTGTATTGTGAGGAATCTAGTGTTATTGAAGAAATGAGTGATTATGTGAATTCAAAATATGATTGATTGATTGATATGTGGGGTTTAATGTCCCAAAACCACCATATGATTATGAGAGACGCCGTAGGGGAGGGCTCCGGAAATTTCGACCACCTGGGGTTCTTTAACGTGCATCCAAATCTGAGCACACGAGCCTACAACATTTCGGCCTCCATCGGAAATGCAGCAGCCGCAGCCGGAATTCGATCCCGCGACTTGCGGGTCAGCAGCCGAGTACCTTAGCCACTAGACCGCTGAAACAGGGCAAAATTCAAAATCTAGCTTCTTGTATTTGTGAATATTAAACATGAAGTAGGCTTCTGCAAACAATACTTAAACTTTTATGAAATGTTCTGGGATGAACTGTAGCAGCAGACCAAAATCGTGATGACCACTAATAGGTGAGATGTCATGTGCTTCAAATATTTACTTTGTGACTAGCAGCTGAGCAGAGGAATGGCTACACTACGCTTACGGTCGGATATGACTAGAATTTTTTACATGCACTGATTTCATAAAGCCACCACTCCCACACTACAAGAAGGGCACATTTGGTATTTTACGGCCGTGTAAAAGGAGTGACTGCCAGTACCTGCTTGTGACTTATTTTGCATTAGATGCATAATTAACTATGTTGTACTGGATGCAAGTACGACTAGCCACTGTATGGCACATTGTTTTACTGTAGGTAAAACAATGTGCTGTGCAGTGGCTACTTGAAGTGGCAACAACTTGCATCGTATCGGTTCTTTTATGGCTTCAGTACTTGCCGTTTATTTCAAATTAAAGATGTACTGAGACGTGGATTAAAAACATTATGTCAAAGCTTGTCCCGAGTCATATAGCGCTGTCTGATGCAGTGTGACTGAAGTTTTATAGCCCTGGAAGTGAGCGTAGCGCCTGAAATGCTGGCCTAAACTATGTCAAACTTAGCTTGTTACTGCAATAAAAAGCTACTGACACTTTTTGAGTTTGAACATTTCTAAACAGATGTGTCATAACTTTCAGCTCAGCATCCTGGAAAGATACTGTTGGATATAGTTGTGTCAAAGTGTAGTGTACATTGATGGCAAGATCTGGAAGTGAGTGGAAAATGTAATGTCTGTATGTCGCAGTGCACTTGCAGGGCAGCAAGGAAGAATTTTTGAATATGCAGTAATGAAAGGTTGTCAGTAGCATTGCGTCTGTATTTAGATGTAATTAATTGACATGTGGATTTTTCTTTTTCAGTGCTCAGGGGTCATGGTCCCTTCCTTTGAGGTCCCACACTTGCTCAACATCAACTTTGACTCCTGTTGTTTTCCTGAGCATGATGGACAGTACGACACAAAGACACGCATCACTGTGAGAGACTGATTAGCTTTTGTGCCCTGCACACTTTCTCTATATGTACTGGTGTGCTCATTAATTTCCTCTGCAAGCATTAGTACACATCGTACTTGCTGGGAATCTTCAGCAGCCATTTCTATTTAGAAGAAATTTTTTCTTTGATGCTCACAAAAAGTTCATCAGTGATCTAACAAGTAACACAAATCACATTCATGAATGTGCCTTGTTTGAAAGCTGTATATAGTTTGTTAGTTATTCGTACATTTTACAAGAAGGGAAGGCATGTTGCATTTAATAAATAATTTATTTTAGAACTTCTGTCAAAAAAAAAAAAGATTTGGGGTGATGTGGTATTGTGTAATGTGTCACTGATACTACACTATCATTCACTCTAAAAGATTTCGGTTGCATTACATTTACTGTTGAGAAAATGTCTGAAAATGGTCAGAGAAAAGTGCTGGAGTTCATTCTTTTTTGCCTTATTTGGCTTCATGTCACATCTGGCTGCATCAGTTTAGACATTATGTGCTTGATGTAAGAGAGAAGGTTCGTGAGAGTCATCCAACAAACCAGATTGCTCTCACATAGAAGTCAGTGACCATTGCATAACCAGACATGCATCGGTGTCTACATTGTGAATATAGTGTGGCTATACTGAATGCATTTACTAGGACACTCTCAGACATTCCTGCAAGCTAGCAGTCACATCTTTAATTAGTGGTTTACTACAAAACGCATTATCAACCACTGTGGTGTACTGTAGTTACGATATTGACGTGATTTGATGATATTGACGAGATGACAGCACCATTACTCGCGCAATGCTGCCAGAGCATCAAGCATTATGAATTGTTACGTCGCGAGTGAATGGCTCAGTAACAAAGCAAGAACAAGGAAGGTTTATTTTGTGTGTCTCGCTTTTATGTGCTCGGCGATGGCGATGACGTCATGACATGATTGGCGACACGCTTGCATGACGTAGCACATCTCCCCCTTTTACCAGTTGAACCTTTGAGGTGGTCGCTGTAGCCTGTTGGACCGGCAAAGCGGCGGCGGTGCCTCAGGTTGGCTAGAGGGCGGTGACTCCGCCAGCGTGGGGTCAGCCATGCCGGCTGGCATCGGCGAGGTTTCGTTAGCGGTGGTGGTGGATGTTGTAGCGCCCCCTGGCTGCGTCGTGTTCGAGTCCTTCGGAGTGCGCAGCCGCAGTTGGTTCGCATGACGACGTTTCTCGCTGTCCGGCGTAGACACAGTCGCCATCCGAGCCCCTTTGGTACTGGAGACCACTCCCGGCAACCATTTTGGCCGGCTGTGGAAACTTCTCAGCCACACTGGCTGTCCTGCACAGAACGGCATGGTGGAGGAGCGCTCTTCAAGACGCGGTTCCCCGCCTGCACTCGGGAGGCAACAGTCTAGCCTGGTCCGTAGCTGATAACCCAGCAGTAGTTCGGATGGAGACTTCCCAGCCTTTACCGGTGTCTGTCGGTATCGGCATAAAAATTGACTGAGACGTTTAATGAATGTGCCACCCTCTTGGCTTTTTCGAAGGCCTTCCTTGATCGTGCGAACCGCGCGTTCCGCCAGGCCATTTGACTGCGGGTGGTAAGGCGCCGTCGTCACGTGGTTGATCCTGTTCATTCTTACGAACTTCTGAAACTCGGCTGAGACGAACTGTGGCCCATGATCTGAAACAAGTGTATGTGGCAGTCCGAACCTGGCAAATATGGGCCTCAACGCTTCCACGGTGGCTTCTGATGTCGTACTCCGCCTCGATATGGCCTCCAGTCACTTTGTTTCAGCATCTACGACCACCAGTAGCATGTGTCCTTCGACGGGGCCTGCGTAGTCGATGTGCACTCGAGACCATTTCCGGCCCGTTTCTGGCCATGGCGCCGGAACCGGGGCAGGAGGCATTGCACTGGTTTGAGCACACCTCTCACATTCGCGTACCATTCTTTCGATGTCGGCATCCAGCCCTGGATACCAAAAAATGGTTCGAGCAAGGTTTTTCATTGCCGCCATTCCTGGATGTGTTTCATGTAGGAGCCTCAAAAGACTCCCAGCAGCCGCTGATGGCACTACTATTCTATGTCCCCAATAAATGAGGTCCTGATTCACCGTCAGCTCATCCTTTTTCTGGAAGAACGGACGGAATCGCTCCTCGGACTCTGTCAGGTACTGCGGCCAGCCCTGCAGGATCCACTTTCGCACCTGCTGTAACATAGCATCACGGATGGTTAGAACCGCCAGCTCTTTGGCACTGATGGGTGCCGCGTTCACAGCTTCAGCGTATAATACATACTCGGGAGCGTCGTCTTCTACGTTATCGGGCTGCCCCCGAGGAATAGGGAGTCGGCTGAAGGCATCTGCATTTACGTTTTCAGATCCTTTACGATAGGTTAGACTGTACCGATATTCACCCAACAGCAGGGCCCAACGCTGAATGCGGGCAGCGGCCATCGGCGGAATTCTTTTGTCTGGACTGAACAGTCCGGTTAACGGTTTGTGGTCGGTTACTAGTTCGAAGTGGGTCCCATACAGATAGTCTCTGAACCTGGTCACGCCAAATACGAGGGCAAGGGCCTCCTTTTCCAACTGGGAACAATTTTTCTCGGCTTTTGTTAACGTTTGTGACCTGAATCCGATAGGGTAGTCAATTCCTCCGACTCGAGGCCTATTGCTGACGCGTCGCACTCTAGGCGAATGGGCTTGCTTGGGTCAAAATGCACCAAGAGTTTTGCATTCTTCACTGCTTGTTTAGCTGCCTCGAAAGCATTCTGCTGTTGTCTGCCCCAGACCCATTTTACGCCCTTTGCCAACAATGCGTATAAGGGCGCTAGTAAGGTCGACACATTGGACAAAAACTTGCCGTAGTAATTTAACAGACCTAAAAAAGCTTTCAGTTCTCTTACCGAAGTGGGCTGGGGGGCGTCGAGCAGTGCCGTGATGTTGTCGCTTTTGGGGCGTAGGCCGTGTCTGTCGATGCAGTGTCCGAGAAAGGTGACTTGCTTTTGCCTGAACTTGCATTTCTCCCGTAGTAGGCGCAGGCCGTATTCCCTCAGGCGCTGTAGCACTTGCTCCAGGATCCTGCAGTCGTTTGCCTTTTCCGATACAATTATGTCGTCCAGATATACCTGCACGCCGGGGATCCCGCTGAGCATGGCCTCCGTGCGCCGCTGGAAGATTGCTGGCGATGACGACACTCCGAACGGCAGCCTGTTGAAACAGTAGAGACCCTTGTGCGTGTTAAAAACGACTAGCCTCTTCGAGTCCTCGTCAAGGGGCAGCTGATTGTAGGCGTTTCTCAAGTCCAATGTGCTGAAAGCTTCTCCGCCGTTGAAGTTCGCAAAGATATCGTCAACCCGCGGCAGCGGATATTGCTCCATTATGGTAGCTGCATTCACCGTAAGCCGGAAGTCGCCGCATAATCGCACCTGTCCATCCTTTTTGACTACAGGCACCACGGGTGTGGCCCATTCGGCCGATGTTACCAGTGATAACACCCCTTTGTTTACCAGCCGATCTAACTCTGCTGATACCATTTGTTTGAGCACATACGGCACCGTCCGCGCCTTACAAAACCAGGGTGTTGCGCCTTCTTTGACGGTCAGGTGTACCGGTGGCCCTCGGAGCAAACCCAACCACGGAGCAAAAACATCACTGTACTTTGATAGCATGGTTTCCACCATTCTGTCCGCATTTTCCGTCTGCAGATACGCCACCTCGTTTCCGGTGAGTACCGGTACGCCTGCCGTATTGAAGCTGCGGATAGTATCACGGCCGCAAAGCATCGGTCCCGGACAGTCGATGACGAAAAGTTCGGCCTGGATGGTCGCGCCACTCATGGTCGCATTGAGTTGCAATTTTCCGTTGATAGGAAGTGGTCCCTTGAAACACGACAGCTTCATTGTTGTGGCTTGCAAACGTGGCCATTCGCCTCGGTGTCGCTCGAACACTGACCGCGGAATAACACTCACAGGTGAACCCGTGTCTACCAACATCGTGAGCGGCACTCCGTTCCAACTTATCTGGCGCAAAATAGGCTTTACGTGCGCGCTGTCCGTCACTTGATGCGCAGTCAGTGTGTATAAAGCTTCACAGTCCTCCGAACTCTTGTGGGTCTTGCAAAAGGGCGTTCGCTTGTTGCCTCCGATTAGTGTCTTCGTCCGACGCTCTACACACTCGTGCCAAGTGGCCGCCTTTCCGGCATCGATGGCACACTGTTCGGAGATGACGACAATCATCCGCTTGGTGCGAAGATGCACCAAAGCGGGTGCAAGGCCGATGCTCATCGCGAGATAGCTCACTTGCTTTCTTCGACTTCGAACGTGAGAGGCCCGGCCGGACAAAATTCGTTGTGTCGGCGACCGGAGAGGGCAGTGGCTGCATGTGCTGCGCGTTTTCCGCAGCGGCCTCAGCAGCCATTACGAAGTCTTCTGCTTCCTTCAAAGTCAGGGAACTGCGGATCAACAACAGACGTCTTACGTCGTCGTCTCGAACACCACATACAATGCGGTCCCGCAGCATGCGGTGCAACATGTCGCCGAAATTGCAGTCTTCGGCCATGCGGCGACGGGCGGCTACAAAATCCCGCACTCGCTCACCTTCTGCCTGTGTGCGCGTGAAGAATCGGTAGCTGGCTGCTGTTTCGTTGACCTGCGGCTCATAGTGGCTCTGCAGATGCTTGATGACATCGCTGTAGGTGAGGTCGTTCACGCTTTTGGGGTGGCATCGTCCCTGAAGTACTTTGACGGCGCCATTGGACAGAGCCGCCACCAGCAGGGCTCGTTGTTTTGCCTCGTCTGTGATTTCCTGTGCTTGAAAGTATGCTTCCAAGCGTACCTTGTAGGCGGACCAGCCTCCTTCTTCTTCCGTGAATGCAGGCGCCTGTCCTGGCGCCATCGCTGCCTGTTTCAGCAGCCGCGCTTCAAAGCCTCCCACTGCGTCGATTTGTGCCTCGTCGCCACTGTTACGTCGTGAGTGAACGGCTCAGTAACCAAGCAAGAACAAGGAAGGTT